GGATCTGTGATCTGACGGCCGAGGAGGCGCCCTCATCGCGAAGCCTCACTGCCCATTGGAAAAGCCTGAACAAGAATAATGCCGAGAATGGGACAGTTATTGAGGCGGCCATCAAATCCAAATCCATTATCACAAGCTTTTTGCGGTGTGACCAACTCATGTTTCGCTACTTTTATATCGAAGTGTGACCACTTTGACTTTCAGCTGGTTGCCTGCAGCCATGTGCAGCAGAGGAATGTGCAGCATTGACTATCGATTGCTGGCAAGCAACCATACGCAGTTTTGACTATCGATTGCTGGCATGAAACCACATGCAGCTTTGACATCCTACGTCTTAGGTTATGGTGAATGCACTCAGGAGCAGCCACAGGATCGGGATGAGCTGGATCAAGACCAGGGCGTGCTGGTCACAGCACGGCCGGCGGCAGTGCATACCACTTCGCTCCTGCTCCCCATTGATGAGCTATCCAGCACACCCTCGCTGGGAGTAGAGCCTCGATGGCCAGCATTTGGATGACTCTGGTATCTCGGACTCCTCGCAGAGCAACAACAACCTCCAACCCAAGCTGACCGTGATCACCCGCCAGGAGCAGTTTTACATTGGACCCAACTGCCGCAACATGACACCGGAACCGCCGCAGCAGAAGCAGAAGCTCATCACCAGGACCATTTCTACTTTGCAGCTAAGCGGCCTGCCCCAGAAGCGTGATGCAGAGGTTTATTCCGGAACCAATCAATTTTAAATCAGAGCAGCAACAGCAACACCCTCAAGCTGAACACACGCACGGCGTTGGCCTTTCTGGAGAACGGCATCTCCTCTTCTCACCGGCAGCCATCGATCGGGACTTAGAAGGCAGGCCGTTGCGTCGAGGCTGTGCCCGTCGAGCAGAAGATCCAGCAGGAGCTGCAGGACCTCAAGTCGCGCGAGACGGAGCTGAAGCGCCTGCGCAAGAATAACAGACACAACACACTGAAGGCTTCGCTGGACAAGCTGTGAGTACACGCCAAGGCTTTCAAGGATCCTCTTGTTATCTTACGTTTTTTCGTTTTCAGCCAGCTCAGCACAGACGACGAGGCCGGACTGGAGCACTGCTATGGACCCGGAAAAGTGCGCAATCGCGTGGTCCAGCAGGTTGTGCTGCAGATGGAGCAGCGATCTTATATCCGATCCCGATCCGGTCAAATGCCGCTGGCTAAAGAAGTGGATTCAGAAGTGCGACGACGACTCGGAAGTACCAAAGAGCGTCCTAAGTGGAGAGTGACCATTGAGAAAGACGGCGGTTGCAACCATATGGTGTGCAAGAACCAGAACTCGGCTCCTGGGAGCCGCACGGCTCTTCCTGGTACAACTGTAACCGGTACAATGAGTATGAGGCCAAGACAGCTCGTGTTGCCCAGGAGAAGTTGGGCTCATCCCTGGCCAGGTGAGTTTTTATACTATTCTAATTTTTGTCGAAAGCTTGTAATACGGTGAAGGAGTCATTTTCGATCCTATAAATATTATATATATATTCTAGATCAGCATCATCAGCCGAGTCGGTCTAGCTAGGGTCAAAGTCAGTTTAAAACTATCGAAAGAGTAAGATCTTATAATTAATTTAGGCTTTTAAATTTGAGTATACGTTTGTAGATATCATCAATACAAATTGCTGAATCACTTTAAATTAAAATTAAGTACTGAGATCCATCTATATTTGTCATGATTAAGACAAACCCCAGTGGAGGACACGTCATTGTTTACTTCCTTCCATATAATAATATAATTGTCATGATTAAGACTTACCTGAGTGTAGGACACGTCATTGTTTACTTCCTCCAGTGTAGACTTCGAATCTTGTTAACTTCAATTAGGGTAGTCATTATATCGAAGATCACTTCCTGGTTATCCAGATGTATTTTATTGGCCACGTCATCCTTTAATAACTATCACTATCACTATCGATGTTAACACTAGGTACCCCTAGGACAGACTGAGGTCGCGGCGAACGAAGTGCCTCTATTTATAGTTCCCGAGTCAAGAGAATAGAGAAAGTGAGAGCGAGAGAATAAGGGATAGGCAGAGAAACATACAGAAAAAGAGTTAGCTCTGGAGATGCACATTGGGAGTTGGACCTACCGGATAAAAAGAGGCAGAGAGAGGGAGAAAGGAAGAGAGCTGTTGATGCTGATCAAGAATATGTTTACTTAATAAGGGCGTTACTGCGTTCCAAACTTTTGAGTAAAATTATAATACCATGCAAGGGTATAAAAATAATCAAATAAAATTTGGATTTTAAGATTCTTGCAGAGGAAAATATAATTTTAATCAGTGAAGAAGTCATTTTTGTGCTCTATAGGGTCGTACCTCCACTGATTAAAATTATAATACTTTCTGCAATATTATTGAACTATATATATTTTCATGCATTTTATTTGTTGACAAATCAAAGTTAAAAAATCTTATAATTCAGCAAAAAAAAGCATTAATTTTAGTTAGCTTTAGTTCATTCTTCAACTTTGGTAACAGCTGCTGTTTATTTATTAATTTTATTACATATTATTTTCAGAACTTCTTTATTGTGCCAATTATTGTTGTTGTTATCAGGATTACTAATATTTATAGCTGGATTAGGAAATAATTTTGAATTTGATATAAAAAATTTCAAAAAGCTGCTTTGTGTTAGTTTTTATGTGGTTATTGAATCTGCATACTCAATTTAAAATTAAAAAAAAAATAAAATTGTCAATTTTTAAAAATTTCAGCTCCGGACATGCATGCAGCAGAAGGAGGATCTTGAAACGGGTCTGACACGCATGCGCGAACGTTTGGAGGAGTCCGCTCAGCATTCGCAGGCGGTGCAGCGCGTGCAGACTACCGAAATGAAGGCGGAGGATTTGCAGCAATGTGCCAGCAATGAGTGAGTACAGAGTTAAGTTAAGTTGAGGAGCGTCACATAAATTAATTTCTATCCTTTGCATCTAGGGCACCGTCTGGAGCGAGCTTGACGAAAGCAAGCTGTATAACAACATGGAGTTGGAGTCGTTAGACAAACTCTTTTCGGCTTACCAAAAGAATGCGGTATCGGTGAGTGTCTAGAAGAGATTCCAATTCAAGAATTAATTATTAATTATTTAATGCTCTGCTCTCTTTTCACAGGCTACCGATGGCTCCTTTGAGCATCTGCGAGCAACTGGAGGCAAGCCAACCAAGCAAGTAAGGTGCTCTCAGAGATCGATGCGGGCCGGGCCCAGAACTGCACCATCCTGCTAGTCAAGCTGAATATGAGATATCAAAGTAGGAGTTGCTTTGGTCACCTGGTTCCAAATACTAATCTCTTCTCTTCTAGGGCCATTCTCTCGATAGACAGCAACAAGCAGCTGACCACTCGACATGGTCTAGCAGCTGCTAAAGTTCCCGCCCTCGGCGAAGGAGCGTGCACTGTTGGATGAGCATAGCGAGGATATTGAGTCACTGGCCCGCGCCGATCGCTTCCTTTACGAAATATCAAAGTGGGTTTGAAGATCATCGAAGAGATTTGGCAGTCACTAAACTTTTTGTTCTTTTGTCCTGGCAGGATTCCCCAATACGAGTAGAGGCTGAAGAGTTCACTACTGGAAGCGCTTAATGCCGACATCAGCAGCTCAGGGAGTAATCAAAATGGAAGTCAGCAGCAACAACAACACCAACAGCAACAGCAACACCCTCAAGCTGAACACACGCACGGCGTTGGCCTTTCTGGAGAACGGCATCTCCTCTCACCGGCAGCCATCGATCGGGACTCAGAAGGCAGGCCGTTGCGTCGAGGCTGTGCCCGTCGAGCAGAAGATCCAGCAGGGGCTACAGGACCTCAAGTCGCGCGAGTCGGAGCTGAAGCGCCTGCGCAAGAATAACAGGCACAACACACTGAAGGCTTCGCTGTGAGTACACGTCAAGGCTTTCAAGAACCCTCTTGTCATCTTACGTTTTTTCGTTTTCAGCCAGCTCAGCAAAGACGACGAGGCCGATGCGGACGACGATGACGATGAGGACTCTGAGCTGGAGCACTCCTATGGACCCGGAAAATTGTGCAATGTCCAGTCCGCCCAGGAGTTGGATAGAAATGGGCAAGTGTTAGATAACCTACTTAAATAAGTTTGATTCTCATTGAATTTTCATTCTTTATCAACAGCAACGAACCGGTGAACGTACACAAGCCCGCTGGCAATCGCAGCCTGAATGCAGCATTAATCGGATGCGTCCGGCAATGCCGCTGGCCCGGATCTGTGATCTGACGGCCGAGGAGGCGCCCTCATCGCGAAGCCTCACTGCCCATTGGAAAAGCCTGAACAAGAATAATGCCGAGAATGGGACAGTTATTGAGGCGGCCATCAAATCCAAATCCATTATCACAAGCTTTTTGCGGTGTGACCAACTCATGTTTCGCTACTTTTATATCGAAGTGTGACCACTTTGACTTTCAGCTGGTTGCCTGCAGCCGCAACAACAACCTCCAACCCAAGCTGACCGTGATCACCCGCCAGGAGCAGTTTTACATTGGACCCAACTGCCGCAACATGACACCGGAACCGCCGCAGCAGAAGCAGAAGCTCATCACCAGGACCATTTCTACTTTGCAGCTAAGCGGCCTGCCCCAGAAGCGTGATGCAGAGGTTTATTCCGGAACCAATCAATTTTAAATCAGAGCAGCAACAGCAACACCCTCAAGCTGAACACACGCACGGCGTTGGCCTTTCTGGAGAACGGCATCTCCTCTTCTCACCGGCAGCCATCGATCGGGACTTAGAAGGCAGGCCGTTGCGTCGAGGCTGTGCCCGTCGAGCAGAAGATCCAGCAGGAGCTGCAGGACCTCAAGTCGCGCGAGACGGAGCTGAAGCGCCTGCGCAAGAATAACAGACACAACACACTGAAGGCTTCGCTGGACAAGCTGTGAGTACACGCCAAGGCTTTCAAGGATCCTCTTGTTATCTTACGTTTTTTCGTTTTCAGCCAGCTCAGCACAGACGACGAGGCCGGACTGGAGCACTGCTATGGACCCGGAAAAGTGCGCAATCGCGTGGTCCAGCAGGTTGTGCTGCAGATGGAGCAGCGATCTTATATCCGATCCCGATCCGGTCAAATGCCGCTGGCTAAAGAAGTGGATTCAGAAGTGCGACGACGACTCGGAAGTACCAAAGAGCGTCCTAAGTGGAGAGTGACCATTGAGAAAGACGGCGGTTGCAACCATATGGTGTGCAAGAACCAGAACTCGGCTCCTGGGAGCCGCACGGCTCTTCCTGGTACAACTGTAACCGGTACAATGAGTATGAGGCCAAGACAGCTCGTGTTGCCCAGGAGAAGTTGGGCTCATCCCTGGCCAGGTGAGTTTTTATACTATTCTAATTTTTGTCGAAAGCTTGTAATACGGTGAAGGAGTCATTTTCGATCCTATAAATAATCTATATATATTCTAGATCAGCATCATCAGCCGAGTCGGTCTAGCTAGGGTCAAAGTCAGTTTATAACTATCGAAAGAGTAAGATCTTATAATTAATTTAGGCTTTTAAATTTGAGTATACGTTTGTAGATATCATCAATACAAATTGCTGAATCACTTTAAATTAAAATTAAGTACTGAGATCCATCTATATTTGTCATGATTAAGACAAACCCCAGTGGAGGACACGTCATTGTTTACTTCCTTCCATATAATAATATAATTGTCATGATTAAGACTTACCTGAGTGTAGGACACGTCATTGTTTACTTCCTCCAGTGTAGACTTCGAATCTTGTTAACTTCAATTAGGGTAGTCATTATATCGAAGATCACTTCCTGGTTATCCAGATGTATTTTATTGGCCACGTCATCCTTTAATAACTATCACTATCACTATCGATGTTAACACTAGGTACCCCTAGGACAGACTGAGGTCGCGGCGAACGAAGTGCCTCTATTTATAGTTCCCGAGTCAAGAGAATAGAGAAAGTGAGAGCGAGAGAATAAGGGATAGGCAGAGAAACATACAGAAAAAGAGTTAGCTCTGGAGATGCACATTGGGAGTTGGACCTACCGGATAAAAAGAGGCAGAGAGAGGGAGAAAGGAAGAGAGCTGTTGATGCTGATCAAGAATATGTTTACTTAATAAGGGCGTTACTGCGTTCCAAACTTTTGAGTAAAATTATAATACCATGCAAGGGTATAAAAATAATCAAATAAAATTTGGATTTTAAGATTCTTGCAGAGGAAAATATAATTTTAATCAGTGAAGAAGTCATTTTTGTGCTCTATAGGGTCGTACCTCCACTGATTAAAATTATAATACTTTCTGCAATATTATTGAACTATATATATTTTCATGCATTTTATTTGTTGACAAATCAAAGTTAAAAAATCTTATAATTCAGCAAAAAAAAGCATTAATTTTAGTTAGCTTTAGTTCATTCTTCAACTTTGGTAACAGCTGCTGTTTATTTATTAATTTTATTACATATTATTTTCAGAACTTCTTTATTGTGCCAATTATTGTTGTTGTTATTAGGATTACTAATATTTATAGCTGGATTAGGAAATAATTTTGAATTTGATATAAAAAATTTCAAAAAGCTGCTTTGTGTTAGTTTTTATGTGGTTATTGAATCTGCATACTCAATTTAAAATTAAAAAAAAAAATAAAATTGTCAATTTTTAAAAATTTCAGCTCCGGACATGCATGCAGCAGAAGGAGGATCTTGAAACGGGTCTGACACGCATGCGCGAACGTTTGGAGGAGTCCGCTCAGCATTCGCAGGCGGTGCAGCGCGTGCAGACTACCGAAATGAAGGCGGAGGATTTGCAGCAATGTGCCAGCAATGAGTGAGTACAGAGTTAAGTTAAGTTGAGGAGCGTCACATAAATTAATTTCTATCCTTTGCATCTAGGGCACCGTCTGGAGCGAGCTTGACGAAAGCAAGCTGTATAACAACATGGAGTTGGAGTCGTTAGACAAACTCTTTTCGGCTTACCAAAAGAATGCGGTATCGGTGAGTGTCTAGAAGAGATTCCAATTCAAGAATTAATTATTAATTATTTAATGCTCTGCTCTCTTTTCACAGGCTACCGATGGCTCCTATGAGCATCTGCGAGCAACTGGAGGCAAGCCAACCAAGCAAGTAAGGTGCTCTCAGAGATCGATGCGGGCCGGGCCCAGAACTGCACCATCCTGCTAGTCAAGCTGAATATGAGATATCAAAGTAGGAGTTGCTTTGGTCACCTGGTTCCAAATACTAATCTCTTCTCTTCTAGGGCCATTCTCTCGATAGACAGCAACAAGCAGCTGACCACTCGACATGGTCTAGCAGCTGCTAAAGTTCCCGCCCTCGGCGAAGGAGCGTGCACTGTTGGATGAGCATAGCGAGGATATTGAGTCACTGGCCCGCGCCGATCGCTTCCTTTACGAAATATCAAAGTGGGTTTGAAGATCATCGAAGAGATTTGGCAGTCACTAAACTTTTTGTTCTTTTGTCCTGGCAGGATTCCCCAATACGAGTAGAGGCTGAAGAGTTCACTACTGGAAGCGCTTAATGCCGACATCAGCAGCTCAGGGAGTAATCAAAATGGAAGTCAGCAGCAACAACAACACCAACAGCAACAGCAACACCCTCAAGCTGAACACACGCACGGCGTTGGCCTTTCTGGAGAACGGCATCTCCTCTCACCGGCAGCCATCGATCGGGACTCAGAAGGCAGGCCGTTGCGTCGAGGCTGTGCCCGTCGAGCAGAAGATCCAGCAGGGGCTACAGGACCTCAAGTCGCGCGAGTCGGAGCTGAAGCGCCTGCGCAAGAATAACAGGCACAACACACTGAAGGCTTCGCTGTGAGTACACGTCAAGGCTTTCAAGAACCCTCTTGTCATCTTACGTTTTTTCGTTTTCAGCCAGCTCAGCAAAGACGACGAGGCCGATGCGGACGACGATGACGATGAGGACTCTGAGCTGGAGCACTCCTATGGACCCGGAAAATTGTGCAATGTCCAGTCCGCCCAGGAGTTGGATAGAAATGGGCAAGTGTTAGATAACCTACTTAAATAAGTTTGATTCTCATTGAATTTTCATTCTTTATCAACAGCAACGAACCGGTGAACGTACACAAGCCCGCTGGCAATCGCAGCCTGAATGCAGCATTAATGGGTTCTGACGGCCGAGGAGGCGCCCTCATCGCGAAGCCTCACTGCAAATTGGAAAAGCCTGATCAAGAATAATGCCGAGAATGGGACAGTTATTGAGGCGGCCATCACTACTTTAAAAAAAAGGTGGGACCATATCCATTATCACAAGCTTTTTGCAGTGTGACCAACTCATGTTTCGCTACTTTTATATCGAAGTGTGACCACTTTGACTTTCAGCTGGTTGCCTGCAGCCATGTGCAACAGAGGAATGTGCAGCATTGACTATCGATTGCTGGCAAGCAACCATACGCAGTTTTGACTGTCGATTGCTGGCATGAAACCACATGCAGCTTTGACATCCTACGTCTTAGGTTATGGTGAATGCACTCAGGAGCAGCCACAGGATCGGGATGAGCTGGATCAAGACCAGGGCGTGCTGGTCACAGCACGGCCGGCGGCAGTGCATACCACTTCGCTCCTGCTCCCCATTGATGAGCTATCCAGCACACCCTCGCTGGGAGTAGAGCATCGATGGCCAGCATTTGGATGACTGGCATCTCGGACTCCTCGCAGAGCAACAACAACCTCCAATCCAAGCTGACCGTGATCACCCGCCAGGAGCAGCGTTACATTGGACCCAACTGCCGTAACATGACACCGGAGCCGCCGCAGCATAAGCAGAAGCTCATCACCAGGACCATTTCTACTTTGCAGCTAAGCGGCCTGCCCCAGAAGCGTGATGCAGAGGTTTATTCCGGAACCAATCAATTTTAAATCAGAGCAGCAACAGCAACACCCTCAAGCTGAACACACGCACGGCGTTGGCCTTTCTGGAGAACGGCATCTCCTCTTCTCACCGGCAGCCATCGATCGCGACTTAGAAGGCAGGCCGTTGCGTCGAGGCTGTGCCCGTCGAGCAGAAGATCCAGCAGGAGCTGCAGGACCTCAAGTCGCGCGAGACGGAGCTGAAGCGCCTGCGCAAGAATAACAGACACAACACACTGAAGGCTTCGCTGGACAAGCTGTGAGTACACGCCAAGGTTTTCAAGGATCCTCTTGTTATCTTATGTTTTTTCGTTTTCAGCCAGCTCAGCACAGACAACGAGGCCTATGCGGACGACGATGCCGATGAGGACTCTGAGGTGGAGCACTGCTATGACCCGGAAAACTGCGAAGTGTCCGGTCCACCCAGAAGTCGGATAGAAATGGGCAAGTGTTAGATAACCTACTTAAATAAGTTTGATTCTCATTGAATTTTCATTCTTATATCAACAGCAACGAACCGGAGATCGCAGCCTGAATGCAGCCGCCTACATAGCCAATGAAGCCGGCAATGGCAGCATTAATGGGATGTGTCCGGCCATGTCGCTGGCCCAGATCCGACGCCTGAGGAGGCGCCCTCATCGCGAGGCCTCACTGCCCAGTGTTCCCACTGATCAAGAATAATGCCGAGAACGGGATGGTTATTGAGGTGGTCATCAAAGAGGACGAACGGAAAGGGTAGCAGAAGCTCCTTATCAAGGAATTAATCTAAACCACTTTAAAACGTAAAATAAACATATTTAATATATTTTATTTTTGTTGTTTTAATTAAATATTGTATAAGCGTTGATCATTGTTTTTATTGTAGGCAAAACCCAGCATTCAATTTGGTCAGTTTCAGTACTGTGGTTGCTGTAGGCGTCTGCACTAAAATTAATCTGCTTTCTGCGGTTTCTGTTCGCCTGGTATTTCAGGTCGAGAATTAGATGACCAAATTCAAGTCTTCGATTTGGTCAAAAATTGCTACAAATCCATCGAATTCTCGACCTGAAATACCAGGCGAACAGAAACCGCAGAAAGCTGATTAATTTTAGTGCAAAAGCTTCAAATTAGAGTTGTCCCTTTAGTTATATTGTAGCAGAGCTTTAAATCTAGCTATAAAAAGCTAGTTTGTCAACCTTACATCTAAAGCTTGTTGTAGTGTGACCAGCTCGTTTCAAAAGCTTTTTGTAGTATGGCCAGATCATGTTTCACCATTTTAGGTTCTTTATCGTACAAAGGCATTTTGATTTTGTGCTGTCGTTATCGGTATATCGATACATGTGAAGCAGCTGTTCTGTCAGGAACGGGACAGTAATTTTAAATGTTGGTTAATTTTATATAGAAACACGTAAGAAGAGAGCCGACCGATGGATTCTTACTTGCGTAACCTAAGTCCCAAACCAGGACGTCTGCATGAACAGCTCGGCAGCGCTCGAACTCGCGCACTCGATGTAGCCGCAAGAGCTTGTCGCTCGGACACATATCGATAGCCAAGTCACGGGCCTTGCGCAGATTTCAAACTGGGCAAAGAGCTGCCCCAGCTTGCTGAATGTAAACTGCTTGTGCGGTATCACCTACAGGCAGGTTTTGTATATCTGGCGCGTGCGCTCCGCATCAACCTCCAACTCCTAGTACAGCACGTAGTTGTTTCTTCTCGTTCGCCGGCGGCACATTCGAAATGGCCCGCTCGCACGTCTCGCGGATCTGGTCGCGCTCGCCCCCCGCCTCGATGAGCCGCAGGTAGTCGATTTTCGGACACCTCCTGCTCGTACTGGTACTTGCGCTCGGAAACGATCACGTCCTCGACGCCAGCCCCATTGCCGTACTTCTCGTGTGTGGTGTAGGCTCCTTGAACAGGTGGTGCAGCAAATATTTGTAGATGATGCGCGCTCGGTCGTTCTCCTTCTGGCCCTTCTGCCAGGCATGTTCCTCTGGCTGCCACTCCACCCAGTGCTCAAATACCTGCCGCGTCCCGGCCAGGTTCTCCAGCATCTCCTCCATGTAGGTGTACTTGGACCAGAATTGGACCATTATGGTAACGGCGCGATCCCATAGGTTGCGGGCATGGTTCACCTGTTTGTCCTTCATCTCTATCTCAGCGTAGTTTAGCCAGAGCTTCACTTTCCGGTGCTCGTTGCCCAGCGCCCGCTCCCAAATGGAGCGCGCCCGCTTGACCTCCTGCTGCTGTTCTGCCACTGCGCATATTTGATCCAGTGGCTGACGACCATGCGATTCTTGCGCAGATTGTCCTCACAGCTTGCGCTGTGAGTAATCGACCAGCTCGGCGGGATCGGAAATTTTTTGCTTTGGCGGCGGCGGCAGGATCTCCAAGTCGTGTTCCTTGGCCTTATGGAGCGGCTGCTCCGCTATTATCTGCACCTCCGCCGTTGCCATGTTCTTCACCTAATAAAAGCGAAACAAACGATGTGATGAAATAGGACTTCTTCTCAAGCAGCCCGCTCACTCCATCCTCCACACTCACCTTGGTCATCTTTTGGGCCCGCTCCACAGCTTATGTATTTCTTTTCCTACTCAATTAATTATAAAATAAAATAATTTTAGAGCACGAGGTGCAAATTAGTTGTTCCTTTAGTGTGACCAGCTAATTTTTCATAAGCTTTTTGTAGTATGGCCAGCTCATGTTTCACCACTTTTGGCTCTTTATCGTAACAAGCTATTTTGATTTTGTGCTGTCGTTATCGGTGTATATCGATATATGAAAATAAGGTGTTCTGTCAGGAACGGGACCAGGCAGGTTATATATATCTGTCGCGTGCGCTCCGCATCTTCTGCCTCCAGCTCCTCGTACAGCGCATAGTTGATTCACAGATACATGCAGTGTTGCCAGGTGATGAGCGCCCATATAAGCTAGATTTAAAAAAAAAATAAGCTAGAATAAGCTAAACAATTTTTAAAAAATGCGAAAAAACAAGCTACACCCAAATATGAGAAAACACGAAACATATAATATATATTATTATATTATATGAATATGTTATTATTAAAGAAAGTCTTAAAAATATGTTCTTAAAGTAAGCACTTAAAACAAATTAGTTAATATTTCATCAATTCCTTCATGTTGTTCGTCGCCGAGTGTTCGACAATGAACAAACAAAGCGCTGCTTCCTGATCCTGAGTCTTGCAACACTTAGCCGGAAAATTTATTTTTTGCGATTCAGCAACTGATCTCATTGATAAAATGTGCTTTTTCGATGCCGCATTCTGCCTAATTAAAAAAATTTTGGCTGATATTGTCGACTTACAGTAGCAACAATATGCTTTGGTTCCTTCTCCTGGCACTTAAATTCGTTGTTTTGGAGCCAAGCATCCCGAAAAATCTGTTTATATATAACTTTCGGCATTTTGAGGACACGCTTTACCTATTTTCACAACACAACAAAATTATTGGTGGTAACACTTCAGCCAACAAATCGATCTCCGATGACACTTTCGATTAGAAATAAGTTCACGATCACATAAAATGCACATAACCATCGGAAAAAAAGAAACTCCAATATTTTCATGCTATAAAGCATATTTTTCGTAAAAAACATTCCGTGGATGTCAAAAATACATAAAAAGCTAAAATATGCTAGATGAATTTTAAAATAAGCTATATTTCAAGCTATAAGCTAGATGGAAATTTTTCAAGCTTTTCTAGTTTCAAATATGCTAGAACTAGCTTATAATAAGCTAACCTGGCAACACTGGATACATGCAACGCCGCCAGAAGTTCTTCTCATTCGCCGGCGGCATATTCGAAATGGCCCGCTCGCACGTCTCGCGGATCTGGTCGCGCTCGCCCCCCCGCCTCGATGAGCCGCAGGTAGTCGATTTTCGGACACCTCCTGCTCGTACTGGTACTTGCGCTCGGAAACGATCACGTCCTCGACGCCAGCCCCATTGCCGTACTTCTCGTGTGTGGTGTAGGCTCCTTGAACAGGTGGTGCAGCAAATATTTGTAGATGATGCGCGCTCGGTCGTTCTCCTTCTGGCCCTTCTGCCAGGCATGTTCCTCTGGCTGCCACTCCACCCAGTGCTCAAATACCTGCCGCGTCCCGGCCAGGTTCTCCAGCATCTCCTCCATGTAGGTGTACTTGGACCAGAATTGGACCATTATGGTAACGGCGCGATCCCATAGGTTGCGGGCATGGTTCACCTGTTTGTCCTTCATCTCTATCTCAGCGTAGTTTAGCCAGAGCTTCACTTTCCGGTGCTCGTTGTCCAGCGCCCGCTCCCAAATGGAGCGCGCCCGCTTGACCTCCTGCTGCTGTTCTGCCACTGCGCATATTTGATCCAGTGGCTGACGACCATGCGATTCTTGCGCAGATTGTCCTCACAGCTTGCGCTGTGAGTAATCGACCAGCTCGGCGGGATCGGAAAATTTTTGCTTTGGCGGCGGCGGCAGGATCTCCAAGTCGTGTTCCTTGGCCTTATGGAGCGGCTGCTCCGCTATTATCTGCACCTCCGCCGTTGCCATGTTCTTCACCTAATAAAAGCGAAACAAACGATGTGATGAAATAGGACTTCTTCTCAAGCAGCCCGCTCACTCCATCCTCCACACTCACCTTGGTCATCTTTTGGGCCCGCTCCACAGCTTATGTATTTCTTTTCCTACTCAATTAATTATAAAATAAAATAATTTTAGAGCACGAGGTGCAAATTAGTTGTTCCTTTAGTGTGACCAGCTAATTTTTCATAAGCTTTTTGTAGTATGGCCAGCTCATGTTTCACCACTTTTGGCTCTTTATCGTAACAAGCTATTTTGATTTTGTGCTGTCGTTATCGGTGTATATCGATATATGAAAATAAGGTGTTCTGTCAGGAACGGGACCAGGCAGGTTATATATATCTGTCGCGTGCACTCCGCATCTTCTGCCTCCAGCTCCTCGTACAGCGCATAGTTGATTCACAGATACATGCAACGCCGCCAGAAGTTCTTCTCAATCGCCGGCGGCATATTCGAAATGGCCCGCTCGCACGTCTCGCGGATCTGGTCGCGCTCGCCCCCCCGCCTCGATGAGCCGCAGGTAGTCGATTTTCGGACACCTCCTGCTCGTACTGGTACTTGCGCTCGGAAACGATCACGTCCTCGACGCCAGCCCCATTGCCGTACTTCTCGTGTGTGGTGTAGGCTCCTTGAACAGGTGGTGCAGCAAATATTTGTAGATGATGCGCGCTCGGTCGTTCTCCTTCTGGCCCTTCTGCCAGGCATGTTCCTCTGGCTGCCACTCCACCCAGTGCTCAAATACCTGCCGCGTCCCGGCCAGGTTCTCCAGCATCTCCTCCATGTAGGTGTACTTGGACCAGAATTGGACCATTATGGTAACGGCGCGATCCCATAGGTTGCGGGCATGGTTCACCTGTTTGTTCTTCATCTCTATCTCAGCTTAGTTTAACCAGCTTCACTTTCTGGTGCTCGTTGTCCTCTTGCCGCTGTTCTCCCACTGCGCATATTTGATCCAGTGGCTGACGACCATGCGATTCTTGCGCAGATTGTCCTCAAAAGTCTTTCGCTTGCGCTGTGAGTAATCGACCAGCTCGGCGGGATCGGAATTTTTTGCTTTGGCGGCGGCGGCAGGATCTCCAAGTCGTGTTCCTTGGCCTTATGGAGCGGCTGCTCCGCTATTATCTGCACCTCCGCCGTTGCCATGTTCTTCACCTAATAAAAGCGAAACAAACGATGTGATGAAATAGGACTTATTTTCAAGCAGCCCGCTCACTCCATCCTCCACACTCACCTTGGTCATCCTTTGAGGCCGCTCCACAGCTTATGTATTTCTTTTCCTACTCCATTAATTATAAAATAAAATAATTTTAGAGCACGAGGTGCAAATTAGTTGTTCCTTTAGTGTGACCAGCTATTTTTCAAAAGCTTTTTGTAGTATGGCCACTTTTGGCTCTTTATCGTAGCAAGGTATTTTGATTTTGTGCTATCGTTATCGGTGTATATCGATATATGAAAATAAGGTGTTCTGTCAAGAACGGGATCACGCAGGTTATATATATCTGTCGCGTGTGCTCCTCATCTTCTGCCTCCAGCTCCTCGTACAGCGCGTAGTTGATTAACAGATAGATGTAGGATGAACCGACGCACAGCTTTTTGTTATTGTTTTTATCCAGTGTGACCGTTTTCATGCAGGCTGGAAAATACCAAAGGCCGGGTGGGGTCTTCCGATAGCTGAAAAGATAATTCTATCGATATTTTTTATTGGCCGAAATTGACGGCAACTGATCGCATACTTAAATTCGAATTAAAGTGGTTGTTAAATTAAAGCATGTTGTTGTTGTTTACAAAATTGTTGTTGTAGAGCAGTTTCCTACTGTTGTTGTAGTTGTAGGCAAAAAACCAGCCTTCAATTTGGTAATTTTCAGTATAAAATGGTTCTCTGATATTGTTAATAGATGGCGGCACTTGATGAATTTTTGCCCATAGATGCCGTTGTAGGGCCGATCGGTTCAAAACTATGACAAACGTGTAAAAATGGGCAGCACTGGTAATACGTATTCAACAATGTGCAACATTTCTTAAAAGACAGTTGCTGTGCTTTCTCAACCATGCAACATCGGTTGAGAGCACCCACAGGTGTTGCTCAACATTTGCCAAACTACATTTATCCAGCAACATTATCTAGTGAATTTTAATTTAAGTTCTTTTAAATTTACGTTTTAATAGCCCAAGTTAGAGTTTAACAGCAAAACCAACATATTATTTTAATAAATTGTAGTTATAAAAAATATTATTAAATATACACAACCATTTGTGTTCTCATCGTTTATTCGTCGTGGAATAAATGGATTCACTTAACTTCTAATGTGGTACATATAGTATACAGCTTGATTCGGTTGGGGTTAGGTTTACAGCCTAGTCCTAAGTTCTACTGACAGGTTCAGGTATAGATTAGCTTTAGTCACAGCTCGCAGCCGCCGACTACTGCTGCTCCTCTTCTGCCGCTTTTACCTCCAAGAACACACCTCGATCACTTACTCACTAATAAATGCATTCGCCTCCGGTACGTTTTCAACTTGTTTTTGTTTTGAAACTACTCTCCTTCTATATTTTATCCATTTCCAAAATGTCCTAGCTAAACTCTTGTTTTTTTTTTTTTTTTTGTTGTAATTTTGCTTTGCTGTCGACGCTGCTTGGAAGTAAAAGCGCAATAAGACGATTCATAAGCATGCACACAGCTTCAAAGAAACAATGTATGCATAAAAAATAAACGAAAAAAAATATAAAAAAAGAATAGGGAAAAAAAACAAAACTAAAAATATGATACAATATAAAGAGAATAAAGGCACTAATCGTTAACATTGAACCGTGGTAAGTTGGGAATTATGTACAATTCGAATTCCTGACATATAAATAAATAAATACACATTTAAATGCAACTTATACGATCGCCCAAATTGCGGCGTATATAGTGAATTCTGGACTTACTACGCTACGCTAAATATTATATAGACAGATGCAGATAAAGATAAATGCACAACAAACGAAACAAATTCGAGCACATTGGCAAACCCACAAAACGCTTGGCAACTAAATCCTACTAATACACGGTACGGGAGGGGTAAGGGGGAGGGGAAGGTATAGGTTACAGGATACAGGATCTACAGGATAACAGAGAGTGGGCCATAGCTTAGTCAATCACCACAGACCACGGATGATCCACCTTGCCGTACTGGATGTCGGTCAAGGTGTCGCGGATCAGCTCATGCACAGGCTTCTCCTGCTCCATGGTGGGTATGTACAGATCCTGGCCGAGGTAGTTGATGCGGTTCACCGGACTAACCACGCACGCCGTGCCCGCTCCAAACAGCTCCAACAGCTATTGAAACGATAAAGAAGCTCCGATTAGAAGTTCTGCAGGCGAAAAATCTTCAGGGAGCACACTTACCCTTCCCTGGTTGAGCAGCTCGCAGACTTGGGGCATGGTGATGGTGGCCTCGGAAACCTTGAACTTGCCCCATTGGCGGGTCATGCGCAGGATGGAGTCACGGGTAATGCCAGGCAGGATCAGGCCACTCAGTGGCGGGGTAACCAGTTCTTGTTCTGCAAACGAGAAAAGAAAAATACGTTTCAGAACATGTGTTGGAAGGCATTCGCTTGGTTTGGACTCACCTCCTTGATCGTTCACATAGAACATGAAGATGTTCATGGTACCCACTTCAGTGAGCTGATGATCCTCGCCGTATAGCCACAGCACCTGCTGCAGCCCCCTCGCTGCCGCCTCCTTCTGGACATTGATGGTGGGTGCGTAGTTGGAGCCCATTTTGCGATTGCCAACGCCGCCTGGCCAGGCACGCACATGGCTGGGATCGGCTAGGAGGGAAACGGCGCCCGAGGAGCCTGTCTTAAAGTAGCTGCCAACGGGGCTGAGGATTGTGTAAAGCAGGGCCGAGTCAGAGGAGGCAACTCCCAGAGTGGGCTGTAAAAGGGATGAATAGGTTAGTTAGTTCCAGGATCTCACATTTCGGCAGCTGCGGGACTACTCACATCAATGCCAATCAGCGTGGGACGTATGTACAGGCTGGCGGTATCCGTGTGTGGCACCCACTCGGAGTCAATGGACAGTAGACGGGACAGGCACTTGACGAATTCGGGGCCCTCGAATGTGGGCAGACCCGATCGCTGGGCGGCCAGGTTCATGCGGTTCATATTCATGTCCGGCCGGAAAATGCGAATCTTGCCGTCGACGCCGCGGTACGCCTTCATGCCCTCAAAGAGCTGCAATGGAATCAGATTCGAAATGGGATTTAAGTAAGTGATAAGACCACTTGGCAGCATTGACAACAGTCGGATGACTGTGATCTTGATTCGGATTCTGTCCATACGACTTGAATACTACATATACTATATATATATATATATATATAAACCGCATGACGTCAGTACTTGGGCCACACGTGCGACTCGTTGTTGTTGACAGAGATTATGGTTGACGGATTATGGATTACGGGGAGGCGCGGATTGCGGGTTCACCTACAGCGACTAGCTCGAGAGTCGAGAGTCACGTATGTAAACATACTTTTCATGAACTGGCGAAAACAACACCCGATATTGGTTCGAATCAGTCGTAAGTAACTATAGTGGGGAATGCTCCAGAATAGACTCACCTCAACGGCGTAGTGCAGCACCTTGGCGGCCGGGTGCATGACCAGGTTCTCCAGCGGCGTAATCTCTGGTCGCTGCCATCCACCTAGGCTCTTGTGGTAGTAGATCTTCAACATGTGGTCGGTAAAGAGACGTCCAAAGCCCAGCTCCTCGTCATTGTCCGGCTTGGCATGCAGCTGCTCTGGAGCGGCTAAGCGCACGGAGAGCTGGGAGGCACGGAACTGATGGCCCAGATCCTTGTCATGCTTAATGGGCTCTGGGGTACCGCTGGCATACTGTGTGTCCACGGAGGCAGTGATCTGGAAGTCGGCCGTCGACTTTTGCTGATGCTGCTGGGCGGTCTTCAGTGACTGGTTGCTGCACAGCCGGATGGACTTCTCGATGAAGCGGATCAGGCGATGCTGGTTGCGGAAAATATCCTGCAGGGAAAGAAGTAAAAATATATTTGCTTATTTCTTTTCTAATTTGTAGTAAAATACTTATGAACTTCGAGTTCAGCTAAAAGTAAGGCAATTAATCTTTGCTTCTCATTAAATGATGGTATGCTAATTTTGGGGGTCTAGACCCGAAAGCGTTGTCTTCGGACCTCCGAAAATGATTTGCACATTCATTAATTCCAATTTGCAAGGCAGACGATCTTGTTGGTGGGGTTTGGACTGATGTAACCCCCGAGTTTGAAGCTATAGTCTACATTCCGGGTCAGACGAGAGTCAGCAGTTTAGATTCCGTTCCGGCAAAAGCTAATCAACTACCGTATTTTAAATATTCTGCTGATGCCGATCTGATCTCCGGTCTCCTTGGCGGATCGTGGTGGCTGATGAAATCGCCCCAAACTATCAACTAAGCCAAAAATTAACTAACTCAAGCTGTCCGAAATGCTGTCACCACTGGTCGGCATTGCATCAGCCAAAAAATAACGAAATACCGAACTAGATTTATTTATTATTTAGAGTCGAGAAAACCCGTTGAAAATTGGGCGCCACAGAAGAATCGAATGTGTCGTCTACATGTCTGCCCATTCAGGAGCTTATCTGACAAGTGCGAGGGATTGGGATCGGGGGAAATGTGGAATAAGGGGGCAGTGCGATAACGACGAGCCATAAATGTCCAAAATAAAACATTAATGGGTTCTATTTATAAGTGGTCTGGAGCTGGGAGCGTGGCAGGTTGTTCGGAAACAGTGTCTGTGTCTATAAGGCTATAAGGCCAAGACCAGTGGTTAGAGTTATGGAAAAGTTTGACATTAAAAGCATTAAAAACTTTGTTAAATTAAGAATTGACTTAAATAAGCTTAAGAACTTGTCTAACTTATAACTAATACCGAATAGAACGTATACAAGTTTTGAAATTAAAGAAATAGAAATATAATACATCAAAAACGTATCATTTTTAAGTTTATGAACATTTCTTTTCAAATTTATTGATAATAAATCAAAAACATATTATTTTAAAGTTTACAATTTTTGTATCAGATTTTTAAATCAAAATTAAAATAAATTTTAAAACATTTTAAGCTTGTAACTTCTTGAATAAAATTAGAAGCTTATCATTCAAAGAATACGTCTATTTCTGATCAGTTTCTTTTATCTCAAGTTCAAAATCGGAATTTGGGAACTCTTATTTATAGTCTTTTTTATTATTTCTTTTAATTTTGTCGCGCGTTGATAAACAAATGAAGCGAACGCCGCCGTGATTTGCATATATTCATAATATTCCAATTTTTGGTCTGTTGCTAACTTGTCGAGATTTTAGCTTTATTTTCGTCGTTGCTTGGAAACAGCGGCGACGCGAGATAGTAATGTTTGGTATTCGAATTTTTTTATAAATTTTGATTACAAACCTTTGCGTTGATAGCCATTTTGGTCGTCATCTTGATGGGTTTTTCAGTGTAACTTTCTTTGCCGTTTGCGTGTTCTGCTCTTGCAGACTCTCAACTCTCTTCGTTGCTCTTCGCCTCTCGCTCTTGGGGCGCCTCTTGCACTTGCACTTTGTTGCCGCACTTTCGCGAACCGATTAATGCCGATGTTGTGTGTGATGTTGTAATTGGCGGAGCGAACTGCACTTTGCACAGTAAAAAAATGGTTGTCTTTCACTCGGTGATTCGATCTGGCTTCGATTGCTTTCTTTTCTGCCTTTCACTCGATCTGAACGGCACGAAGTCTCTGCAAGAAATGAGCTCTGCCGCCGCGCGCTCCTCTATGTATAGCTCTTGACGCGCGCCTGTGTGCGTGTCTGTCGTACGATTGTTGCCCCGTTTACCGTTCGTCCCAGCGCCATTTTTAAGAGAGCGGCACAGGAATGGCCGCTAAGAGAGCGGGCAGACGAGCGAGCCGGAGAGCGACGTACACTGAGCTAGAAAAGTTGAAAAGATCGCTGGGGGAGATATAAAATTAAAGCTCTCTTTTTTTTATTTTATTTTATTTTTTTTTGTTTATTGCCATTTAAATATGTACAATGCTCCGGCGATTATGACTGGTAAAATTAACAAAAATAAGCTGACGCTTCAGTTGTTGTTAAAATCTATAGATCATCACCTGTTTAAATATTGAAAATAAACTTACATATTGATTACGATTATTTTTATAAATATTTTACGAATGAGCAGACGGGGAGCAGTGACTTTAATAATAATTTATTTAAATAAAAACCGATTTAACTAATTAATTTATAGAATCCCTTTGTTTTTTAAGCCAACACAAACATTATTAGACCGACTCCAGTATACAAAATAATATATTGAATAATTTAATTCTTAAGGCAAATAATAAATAAATCGTTGCAGTATTTATTTTAGTTACTGATATATATTTATTTATTTTCGAAACGGTTTGTATCGTAAAATTATTTTTACAGTGTAGCCAAAATGTAAGTTGCCGAAAATCGAATGTTTTTTTTCGGTCACTCCCTTAAAGCAAGCCGATTTCGGCTCTTGTTCGTGTTGCTTCGTGATCGATCGCTTCGGTCTTCGTGTGGGGGTGGGGTTCGAGGGGTGTTAGTGGGTAGGTGGAGCGGCGTATGCCCCCCATGGGCTGCGCATACTTATTTGGGCGCAGCGATTGCCGATTTCGGCGGGCATTTTTTTATTCTCGTTTTTTTAGCAGGCTTTTTTGTTTTTGCCTCGACAATTTCGGGCAATTATTTTTCGTTTTTTTTTTTTCCTTTCTGACATGTTTGCTTCGAGTTGAGTTTTGGAATTTTCGGACGGTTTCTCTTCTGGTTCTAGTTCTTTGTTTGCGCCGCTCGAGCGTGTGTACTTTTCCATTAAAACGGTGGGCACACAGTGGCATATGTACCAGCCGATATCTATATATTTTCTATATGCAATCCATTATATAGTCGAATAGTTCTTGTACCGCACTAAAACATGTTTTAAAAACAGCCAAATTGATTTGTTCCTTTTCAATATATAGAATTTTCTAAGCCCAAAATCGAATTCTTTAAAAACTTTCCATTTCTTTGGGCTCAGAACAAGCTTAAGTTGAATTTTTTGGTTCTGAATATTAATCATTTATCGATTAATTTCTTTCGACAGTCGGCAGGATATTTAATTTGGGGAATTTCTTGCGCCGGGCACACATGTTATCAGTTGTCACTTTCTTCGCCTCTTCCTTATGCTCTTAGTTTTTTTTATCTTCTGCCGCTACCTGCCTGAAATCATTCGATATTCTTCACCGCTTTTTTACCACGCAAAAAAATAAATAAATGAATGGAAAATGTGTGGGGAAAACTGCTTGTGTGTGTTTTACAGCCGCAAGATGACGCGCACGTTTCCCTTTAGATTTTTTATTTTCCTGTTTTCCTGTTTTCTTCCTGACTGTAGTTTCCCAACTGATAACGGGCTGCATCTCTTGACACACAGCAGCGATAGCGCATGCAAGCGTGTGTGTGTATTTAGGAGATTGTGAAAAACATGGATTTGGGAAGCGAAATCCCCCTCTAATCCTGGCTGATGCAATATCTAAATCAACAGCATCACGATCGCTTGATAAGAGGCCTCAAGTTGGTAATTCGTAAGTGTTATAAGCTTGTAAGACTTTTCACGTAACTTAAGAGCGGGGCGATAAGAGCGAGATGTGTGGAAGAGCTAGAAACTCATTACATCGCTCTCCTTCTAGTCGCCTCTCGCTCTTTCCGAGTCTGTACCTCTCTCGCTCTTCGGGTGCTGAACTGGTTGATAAACAAATAAATTAGCGGCTTCTTCTGAATCTTCTTCTTCTTCTTCATCATTTTCCTCTGCTAGCTTTTCAATGTCAATGTACGCAAGCTGGAGCGAGATGGGTAATGGATAAGTGAGGGCGGGGGCTCGCCATCCCACTCGGTCACCCGGTGACCAGTTGTAATGTGTGTCGTTCGCTCTCTATCTCTCCCTGGGTTACTGGTCACTAGGTCATCCGCCAGTTGTTGTAGTGGGCGACCTTCAGTTGGTCGTCTCTTTTCTCTTTGCCATCAGGATCTCCATATTCCATTGCTATTTAGTTCAAGGTAAAGAGAGCGAAGGGATATACACAGTACAAAAGAAGTAGTAAGATAATGGTTTTAAAATCTCAAATTAAATTATTTTTTAAAAACCATTATATTTAAAGCAAAGTTTGAATAATTTTTGAGATACTTCAGAGTTTTAAGCTTTGTAAATAACGTTGTTTGGGGAAAATACGGACATTCGTCCTTATAATTTATTATTCTTTGCCCTCGAGCGATCGAAAACAACAACAAAAAACTGGGAAACAGAATCTGGCGAAAACAACTTGATAAACGATTTCCAGCGAAGCACGTAACTAGCCAAAAGATAAACAATAACAAGTCAAGGTGTCGCTCACTGAGAGAAATAAAGGGGCGGAACCTATGTATGTACCTATCCATATTACATTATAATTACATATCTTAACGGTTGAAACGAGAGCAAAAGTCATTGAACTGCTGCACTGCTTACACTGCTTACATTGTTTTTGTGCACGATCAAGGACGCAATACCTGTATCTATGTGTGTGTGTGTGTGTGTGTGTGTGTGTGTGATAAAGAGGTGTGTCTCGTATCTCGCTCTCCGCACTCGTGTCTGTGTGTTTGTTTGTATGCGTTTTGGAGGCCCGTTCGCCTGAAACGGGCCCCAGACACCAATACAGATACAAGCACAGATGAAGGTACATACAATTCATTGCAAAATATTAGTTACACTTGTAGCAAAAATATAAAATAGCTTTCGATCTGTAATTAGAGGGAGTAGGGAAGAATTTGATAATAAAACTAAGCTGCTTATTCCTTGGTAATGATTCCAATATTTTATTTTAAATATATTATAGAAAACACTATATTTCCTTTTTATTAATTATTTCAAGTGCTAGTCGTTATGGTCACTATTAGAATAGTTGGTCCCTATTGCCTTGCACCCGCCTGTGAGTATCGGACTTCATGGCGCACCACGCGGCGTATGCGCAATATGCTTGCCTTAACCCCCTGTCGCCCTGTGGTCATATTTATATATTTTTTGCTTCGACTTGTTTTGTTCGTTACAATCGTTATTCTGTCATTGTTATTGTTTTGCTGACTTTCTGCGAGAATTTGTTTTCGCTGTCTTGACAGTCACTCGACAGTTGAGCGCGTCATCCGAGATGCTCTCGTTGCCTGTTTGTTGGATTTTCGTAAATATTTTCGACAAATTTATCCCACTCGGTTACAGAGTCGTCATTCAGTTCATTAGGGAATTCTTAAATTCGAAAAATTACGCACTTAATGGAAGGGATCAGGGGCAGAAGACCCACTGTCACTGCAACTTGTGACGTCAAAAACCAAGCAACACTTTAATCGCGACCAACTGTGTCGAGGTAATTGGAATGGTGGCACCCGCTTCCACCGCTCAACACACTCCGCTGCCAGGGAACTCAATACGATTTCGATTCTGATTTCAATTCCGATCCAAAATCATTGGCGGGGGGTAAAGGGTTCCCCAAACGACGCAGTTCCAATCGGATGACCAGTTCCGATACTTAACGCCAAATATTCAACATATTCACAAACGTTTTTCATGCCACCGTCTCGCTCAGAGATCAAAGTCGGTAATAAGACATGGAAATGCATACTTAGGGATATGTTTATCTAATAGATTTATATGCCTTTAAAATATTCATCGATAACAAATAAGTGAATTTCTAATTTCCTTAGTCAGCTGATGGATCTTCCTTTCCATTGACGTCAGAGATCGGAGCGGGCGCGGCACACGCCTCCCCCGAAAAAGAAAATATATATAGCTATAGCTAGTATCAGCTAATATCAGCTACCTCCTCCAGCACGGACGGCCACTCCCTCCTCTGGCGATCACAAGATACACGTTTCCGGGGCTTTGGCTGTCACTGGGCAGCAGCAGCAGAGATAAAACCGTGATACAGATACGGATACAGATACAGATACAGGGGCAGAAGCGGCAAAACAGAAGCACATGATCGCGATCGGTTTTATCGCCAGAGAGATACTGTCCGCCCCCCGCCCCCAAATACCCAATCCCCGATCCGTCCTGGTCATCGTTTACCACACCTCCTGACAAATTATTCACGGCCAAAACAACACTGATAACGCCTTTTAGTCACTCGTCGGTCTGATTACGGGATACGCAAGTCATCCTCGGGGGATATATGAATCCGGATGTCAAAGCGAAGTAATTTCCCAGATTTATTTGCATTTCCCGAAAGCCAGCGAACGGCTTTTTACGCATCTCTCGCATTTATTGCGACATTTATTAGGCAGTTATTTATTTTTATCATTCGAATGTTGCCAAATTAAGAGGTTCTTTAGTCATAGAGGAGAAATAGAGCTTAAATAGGGGGAACTGGTTAGGTTTTGTACCCAGTATTTGCTTTTAATTTAACAGGGAATAGTAAGTATCTGGTTTTTAGCATTTAGTATGAATTTCTACTTAAGGAAAAGAGCTCTATGGTTTCCATATGGTTTCTCTGATCGTCCTTAACTTATACTCATTAAAACTTGCTTTTGAATGTATAAAATATGGCTTAATTGAAGTCTAAAGAAGGGTCAGGACCGGGTCCGCTCGAGATCCATAAGAATAAGCCTTTTGTTCTTGTAATACTAACAGAATAAAAATTCCTATACTCTAATGATCCCTTTATAAATCACTCCCTTGCCCCGAATTTATGGCTTCATTTTTTGGGCCATTCCTATGGAAATCCGTATGGTACACATAATATATATAGACTGGATATTTATGATGGCCAAAAATCGTGGGTGCTCTCGCAAGTGATTTATTTGCTTACGCGAGCTTTCCTTATTTTCTTGTCCGCATCTCGGTATATATTTTTTACTGCCCAAGGTCTCGACGGCCGTCTAAAGATTTTCACTGTCGATCTTTGGCATTCAAAAATAGCCAAATAGCAGTGCAAATAAAAAAAGAACAGAATTTCTGCTGTTTACCAGCTGCCTCGACTATCTCTCTAATTGATTCTATATACTTTTTTTCTCCACCCTCACTGGTCGATCTTCAGAAATTGCTTAAGCTTTTTCAAGGTTGGGGACGAGAGCTGCCGCAGATTAAGAATAAGAACAGAACAACATGGAACATGATAACAAAATGGAAAATAAGCAAGAAAGGAAGATAAATTCGTAAGCCGAACTTTATATACCCTTACAGTTTGAAAAAGGATCAGGTGCCGCATTTAAAACGGTCATAACTTAACCAAAAATGACTTATTTTCAATTCGGAAAACTTTTCTATGTTAGTTTTTGCCAGGTTAATAAATCTGCATACTAAATTTAAAATTTAAAATTGTTGCCAGTTTTTCAAAAATTTTAACGATGTAACCCCTTATATTTTTTGAAAAAAAATTTCAAAATTTTGTTTTTCAACCGAACATGGCTAGATCAACTCAGCTGTTGCTCCTGATCAAGAATATATATAATTTATAGGATCGGAAATGACTCCTTCATAGCGTTTTAAGCTTCTGACTGAAATTATGATACCCTGCAAGGTTATAAAAACTTATAAAATTCAGCGTCGCAATCATAACGCTTTACGATCTTTTAACGATCGGCCTTTATGGTTTTTTATGGCTTGAGTGAGTCGCGTGCCCGGGACGAGCCCCCCTTTTGCTTTGGTAAAAGAAAATCCCCCAGAAAGGAGTCACTGAGATCTGTGGGTGTGGTAATAATGGTATTGGAGAAGGTATTACCGCCCAGTCAGCGACACGTGTGGCTCTCCAAGTCGATGAAAAAATTATAAAAAGGGCACAAAAAGAATATGCCAGAAACTATATATATATACATACAATACAAACTTACCTATATAAATAAATTCTTGTTTATGCTCTCCTCTCATATGTACACTCGTTTAGTTCAAGATTGTGTGCTTTTTTGTTATGAAGCTCTTACATTTTGGCCGGCTTTTGTTGCTGCCATACGACACTTATAGGGTATTATGAGGGTATATAAGGTCCTAAAAGGGAAGAAGATGTATGAATATATAATTTATAAGAATTAATTAAAGTAATTCAGCATAAAAATATATTAAAAGGAAGTCTTTTCAAACTCTAGGTTTAAAACTACTTCCTATTTAACTCTTATATATAACTACATACTACTTAAATATATGTACATTAAATAATATATTATATTTATAATATAACTTAGTTTTTCAAATATTATCGCAAATGTATGCTTTTAAATATTCATATTAAATCCTTCCCATGAAATACAGGACATCCCTTAGCTGCCTGAAATTAAAGCATACTTTTGGGCCATATATTTTCTATTAATACCCTTCCACGGGACGGGTAACCGACAAGTTGATCATCTATTTTTTAAACAAATCTCTGAATTTATGCCACCTTTGTGGCGGCGAGTGGCGGAGTAGCAATTTACTTGCGCGTGGCCTGGCCCGGCGCACTCGAATTATAAAGAAATAAATATGTAAAAAATAAACAGCAACACAACAACAAATAAAATGTGCCTAGTTGGCAGAGAGTCAATCAGTCAAACAAAGGCGCCCCACCGTCAGAGTGCCAGATCGTCGTCCACAAGTGTCCAATTTAAATGCTATATACATAGACACAAAATACACCAAATACCAGCAGAGATCTCTCCATGGACGAGTACGAGCACAGTGCCTAATGTGTGTATGGGTGCCATGGCACCTGTTCTGCCGCCGGTTGCGTAAATTATTTTGCGCTCTTTGCCCGTCGCGACTCTGACTCTTTTGCGAAAGCCAGCGTGTGTTGCTCTCCACTGGCGGATCCCGCTCTCAGCCCGACCCCGTCGCTAGTTTATATAACCTGCCTCGGAATATACGTACATATATCTATATATCTTTGCCCCCCGCGTACACAGTAAAAAGTGAAACTACTTTGGAGGTAAACACAAAGCTTCATTTTGAGTCCAAAGAAAGAAGACTCTTCACATTTTTCTCCATGTGTATTTGAATTTTCTGCATATGTTTATGTATTTTATGCGTTTTTATACATATTTATCTTTGCTGCGAGAATACAAGCGGACGGACGAGCCCTGAAATCCAACCAATCCCAGAGCTCTAAGCGGTGGGAGTGGATTATCTCAAGTATAGTGACAGATGACGCAGTGCGTCACCAGATATGTATGTTGAAAACATGCAAGCATTAAGAACTTGTCGAGAAAATGATGTTTTTATTCCCAATATTGATATAGAACCTAAAGACGACAACTATCTTTCCACTGTTTTACACATTACGTATACGCCATGTATGCACAAACAAGTTGTGAAATTCAAAGTGTTGCTATCTCATCGAAGCTTCTATTTTATTCCATTTAAAAAGAAATATTTTAAGATGACGTTATAATTTATGATGTTCCTGAATCTCTGGTATTTTCAAATAATAATAAATAAACAAGATCTATTCTAAAACTTCCCTAAAAGTAAATATATTAGGAAATGTAAGTTCTAAAAATACAACAAACCAAATATAGAAGAAGTACTATACAAACTTTAAAAAGTTTTTTTAAGAAAGCCTGTAAACTAATTTTTCTAATTTAAAAAGCTTAAAACGAAGTTTAGCAGTCATTTCCGACCCTATAAATCATATAAATTCCTGATCAGCATCAACAGGAGAATATTTCTAGCTATCTCCGGCAGAAAACTAAATTTTTTTTTAAAATTTTAAATTTTTTCAAAAATAGGGGGTTACATCGCTAAAATTTTCAAAAATTTAAATTTTTTTCAATTTTAAATTGAGTATGCAGATTTATTAACCTACTAAAAACTAACAAAGAACTGCTTTCCGAATTAAATTTAATGCATTTTTGGCTTAGTTACGATCGATTTTCAATGATTTGATTTCTCAAATGTAGCTTATTTTCTTCTCATATTATTTCTTTCTTGTTATATTTATTTATTTTTTTTAAAGGTCTCAAACAAACAAGATTAAGTCTCGCTACCTAAGCTAAAAATTAATCTTCTGAGCTAAAGAAAAAAAAATAAAACTGGTTCGAAAAGGTACCAGGGACTGGTATTTTCTTATATTCGTTTTTTGTTTGTGAAACCGCCGGGCCAGACACAAATACATATATTCGAAAATTAAGCAAAAATCAAATAAATCGAACGCGAAATACATTGGAATAGATGAGAGAAGAGACTTGTTATTTTTACGCTCCCAAGGAACTCGATTTCGTTGCCATCCACATGGCATTGAGACCGAGTCTTTGCTGATTCCTACCTTCATATGTCGTGGCTTTTTTTATTTTTTGGCAACTTTCATTATCAATGTCAAGCACGATTCTAATTAAACGCTGTTGAAATGAAAAGCAAACTCAACGAGATAAGAGCTTAGGCAGCTGCTCATGTCATTAATGGATATGGAGGAAGGAACGCGATCTATATACTATATAAATTCTATATAAAAGCTATATAAAAGAAGTGCTGAAGAGTTTTTGGAGAGATGACGTATGGCCAAAGTATTTCGGGATATGATAAAGCTAAACTAATAAAAGTCAAGATTATCTATCTTCTACTTAAGTTAGATATAATACAAAACACTTTGGTCATTAATACCATTGAAATAGTATCTAACAGCTTATAGTTCTTAAATTACTTTATGATTCTCATCATATTATTGATCATCATTACTTAATTTATTTGTATTTTCATTAGCTTGCTCTTAATTATCGATTCATTATTATTTATTTACTTATTTTTGCCAATTAGCAAGGGGAGTAAGATTGATTTCAGTTAGAATCTTTGAAAGTCAAGTCTCTCGTGCGGAAAGCCTCACGTGTCCCTCCATCTATATTTATAGCTACGTATTTTCGAGCTGTTCCCCGATTTATTTTTAATATGCCGCAAAATTCTGAAGTGGCTGCCAAGCAGAGCTTATCAGGTGGAAAGGAGACGCAGAAGGTGGGCCTGGCCTGGCACGGTAATGCCTCCAATCACTGACATCGCCTGTTTGCCATCAGCGAAAACCGGGGCTGTTGCTAGAGGGAAACTCTTATCGCCATCGTACCGAGATTCTGATTCTGACGTGCGTCATCGCAACGAGAGATGGCACGGGCTTCCCGCTGCTGCACCCGCATCCCTCAACGGAGATCTGACTGGCAGGTAGTCCTTTATAACAACTGGTTATTGGCTTAAAATAACCGGAACAGATTGTCGGATCTTAATAACAACACTCAGACAATTGCTTGGTCTGTACAACATTGACTCGTCTATATTTACAAGGAGTTGGGCTTTGAAATAAATAGTTAAAAAAAGGCAGAGCGGGGCGTAGGGCTAGGGTAGCTTCTTGAGGTGCGGATGTGACTGCTTGTGCTTCACCTTGGAGGTGAGGACATCGTAGCCGAGACTGATTATGTTGTCATAGAAGATGCGGTAGTGCGTGGGTATCCAGTAGAAGTTGACGAACTGCGCCACTGGCCACACGGTCCATTCGGCGGCGTAGAGCTTCCAGGCTTTCTCCTTGATCTCCTCCCACACTTCATGCTTGTCCTTCCGTTCCAGCAATCCCAACGTGACAAAGAACGCAGAGATGTAGATGGGCGAACAGATCAACTGGTCGAGCACAATCTTCTTGGCCACCACACGCATGCTGCGACCGGGCATCCGCCTGTCCAGCATTTTGTACCAATAGTGACATATCACGCCCACCGTCACACCGCTAATTGCCATGTGGGCGGTGCGGGTGGACTCGAAGCGTTCGATCTCCTTGCAATAGATCTCAAAATGCTGTTCGAGCACATCGCCCACACAGCTGAGCGTCAGTGAGATGCCCACATTGGTGAAGAGCAGGAAACGGCTGCTAAACGCAATTGCATGCAACTCGCGTAGCTTTTGCAGGGCTCCTGCTGCGCCAGCTCCCACTCCGGCTCCAACTCCAGCTCCTGGTGTTGTTTCACCGCCACCAACACCGCTCCTCCGGGGCCAACTGATGCGAAGACTGCGCGGACTTGGGCCGCGAACGGCGCTGGAGAGCAGGAGGCCGCGGGCCGAACAGCAGCGCATCGATTGCATGGAGTCCTCAAGGCAATGTCCACGTCTGTGTCCCGCTTGTTATTGTTTTGTTGTTGTTAGAAGACCTTCGTCAGCAGCGGTCCAGCCATATTCCTCAGGTGTCCAAAGATGCGGTTGCGGATCCGGTTGCGGATCCAGTTGCTGTTGCGGTTTGAGGTAGTTCCGGGTTGTGCGAAGTTACGGTGCAGCGGGGGTATGGCTTTAAAAGTGTACACGCATGTTCGTTTTTTGTGTTAAGTTAAATTTTAACTTTTGAAAGGCAACTCGGACACGCAACAGCAACAACAACAACAATAGAGAGCCGACAGCTGCAACAACAGCCCCAATCACGTGTAGCGATCAGCTGTTGCGCCCAGGGCTGGCCGGACACGTGTTATCGATAGTCTTCTAGGGTGCCAACACAATCGTAATGATAATAGGTGGCTTGATTTTCGTTCACTTTGTTAAATAAATACTTTTCTTCAAATGGTGGTGTTGGCTAAATAAATAACAAAATAGTTTGACGTTTGTTACTTATATACTTAAACTATAATTAGCCTTGCTTAATTTGCTGTCTGTAGTAAACTTTGATCCCTTAAGCATTTCTTTAATAATGTTAAACCCTATACGAAGTAAATATAACTTATTTGAAGTAATAAATAGCTTACGAAATTTTCGTAGTTTGACGATATTCTATTCTCCATCCCTAACCATTATGATGGCCGATATTTTGTGTATCGATATCGGAGAACACAGCGACAACCCTAGAAAGCATTCCACTGCGTTTGTTGATTTTATTTTTGCAAGCGTCGCATTATCATCTATTTCTAAAACCTAATTCGGTGACCTTTATCGGATTGCAAGTGCGTAAGTTAGCCTAATTACGACCTCGATGCCACCAACTGCACCTGGAAACAGCTGGGCAGCTGTTGTGGCTGCCCTTCTGTCAGTGGAAACGCAATTGTTGAGGGGAGTCCAAAACAAAAGCGTAGCAGTTAAGAGATAAGGAGGAGTGTTACAAGGCCCAAAAGTAATCCCCGCATTATTCCCTCATAGGAACAAAGGAACTCGACTCCTCATACACGCGCACACCTACACCCATACACACTCATCGCCCGCACACGCACAGCACACAGGGGCAGAGCCAACGAGCGAGCGAGAGAGGCAGAGGTCGCAGAGCGAGAGGGAGCACAATGGGACGCATTTTTCTGGAGCATCTCGGAGGCCTGAAGCTCTTCAATTGCGCCCAATGCCACACGAATCTGACCAACCGCAGCCAGCTGATTAGCACACGCTTCACGGGCGCCACGGGTAAGATACATCCGCTCGAGAGATTATGCAATGCATCCTCAATCACTGTCTTTTTGACCTTGGTATTGTTCCAGGACGCGCATATCTGTTCAAGCGTGTGGTGAACCTGACCTTCAGCAACATCCAGGAGCGGGTGATGCTCACAGGCCGGCACATGGTGCGCGATGTCATGTGCAAGAACTGCGGCGCCAAGCTGGGCTGGATGTACGAGTTCGCCACCGAGGAATCGCAAAAGTGAGTTTAACCTGGCAACCCAAAGCTTGGAGCTAAACAATGCTGTGATGTTAAGCTTCAGTTACGCACTAAGTCCACCAGAATCTATAGAAACACTTGCTAAAGTTAACAATAATTAGAAAATATGATAGAAATCTAGTCAGTCGATGACAAAATGTGTTGCCAAACTCCACACAACCTTTAATCAGCTGTGTCGAGTCCTAAAGTCGTCCAATTTCTATATAAAGCCTATCCTATTTTGCGAGAAAGACTTCTGCTGGCGTAGTGTGTGACTAAGCAGCGGAAACGCACTTTTTGCTTGCAACCATGCTCCAATCTTGGTTGTATCCGTTTAGAGCGGTTACTAACTAATAATTTGAAACTCCTGCAGGTACAAGGAAGGCCGCGTTATTCTCGAATACGCCCTGGTTACCGAGGCTGAGGGGTTTCAATCAGAGGCCGCCACCACAAGTCATTGAAAGGACGAACCCATCCAGCGAATGAAAGAACCACGCATCGGCGAACCGTCTAACCGTGTGTAGCCCTAAGTATTGAGTAGCAAGCCACAGGCGATGGCTTCTGCGCATTAAACCTTAGTTTAGAGATCGCCGTAGTCAGCTCCGGGGTCCAATTCCGGTTGCCCGGTTTACGGAACGGAGGACTTGCTTACGGCCCTGTCTTAACGTTACTTAAACGTAGTTGTAGGCATAACTAAGTAGCAAGTAAGCAGCTGCGGCACCCCGATTCTATCATAAACTGTCATGAGGCTGAAACGCTAAAAAGAACGAAACAAGAATACGAAAAAGATCCTGTCTTTTCCAGTTCCCGTTCGAGTTCTGATCACACTTGTGTCTTTCAAACAAGATCTCTAGACCGTAATCAATCACCAATCAATCAGCAATAAAGTACCACAATTATCGAATAGTAGCTCCGGGTAACATCATTAAATCGTCCTTTACTCAGCTATTTTGACAAATGCAACAAAATGCATCATCTTTCAACATCTAAACTAGTTAGGCTAGAATTTAAAACCATCTATAGTTTGCCAGTCTTTTGGGCCATGGCCAGGGCATTCTCGTTGGCGATCACCTGGAACTCCTGGAAGCGTTGCGATACCCGCTGGTTCATCTTCAGGTACTTCTCCATGCAGTTTAACGAGCACTTGTCCTACAAACACACGCATAGCACACCGAATGAGTTTCGTGTCTAGTGTTCACTTGGCAATGCGAGCACTCACCTCAGATTCCTTGACGATCCGAGATGAAAAGTCGCGTACGCAATCTGTGAAGCACATTTCGGACAGCTTATTGTACGACATCAGAAAATCGGAGAACTGCAGAGAAGGAATTAAGTTGAGTAAAAAAACACACTCATTCATCACTTTGCCGCCTTTGGGGCCCATTCCCGCGCCAAGTACTGTCGCCTCCTCACCGTCTTCATCTGATCCTTGTCCAGCTGCTCTAACGCAATCGATTCCGGGGTCTTGGCCATTTTGTGTTGCAATATTTTATTGAGGTTTCTCCAAAAAAGAAATGTGCCAAAATTAATGTGCCTATATTAAATAATAGGGACAGCTGAGCAGTATGACCGCGCTGGGACCGTCCAAAAAGTTCTTGAAATGGAAATGGTATTTATTTCTGCACTGGTCACACTGTTCCCGGTATTTTCTTAGACTTTCTGAGGAAAAGCTTCGTAGCACTTAACGTTATAAGCCCTTCTTGGCATTTTCCCGAGTAAAATCGTATTTCCCCATGGGCCGGATCTTCGTACCCCAAAATAAGACAAGCTAGGAAGACTGCAAAATAATCAAGCTTTCTGTAAATAAATCTTAACCGATATATAACCGTTTGAAAGTAATCGATAATACCGAAAGCTTAAAATATCCATATTTTTCAACCGGTGTTTTGTTAGAATCGGATAACAATTCTGTTATTTAAACAAAATGCGATGCACATGAATAAAAACAATTAAAACCTAGCAGTGTTCAAAATACAAACAATCGATGTATCGATAGTGACATCGATGTTTTGACAGCCATTCCGACCATCCCTAGTACAACGCCATCTTTTTTCCGCAAACATTGTAAAATTTTTTTTTGGCTTGGGTGTGTTCGCTGCTGCTGCGAAGAAAAACTGCAATCTCACGGGCCAGCAGCTGTCTTACATTGTAAAATCACAGTACCAGACAACAGGTCTGCATTTGGCGAGCCACTGACGAAGTCGGGACACGGGGCAGAAGGAGCGACAAGCAAGTGAAAGGAAGACACAAATATTCTCAGCAAGATGCCACGCTATCGGGAGTGGGACTTGGCCTGCAAGGTCTACGTTGGCAACCTGGGCTCCTCGGCCTCCAAGTACGAGATTGAGAATGCGTTTAGCAAGTATGGGCCCTTGCGCAACGTCTGGGTGGCCCGCAATCCGCCTGGCTTCGCCTTCGTCGAGTTCGAGGATAGACGCGACGCCGAGGACGCAACCCGTGGCCTAGACGGCACCCGCTGCTGTGGCACCCGCATCCGCGTGGAGATGTCCTCGGGCCGTTCCCGCGAGGGACGCGGTGGTGGCGGCGGCGGAGGCGGAGGAGGTGGCGGCGGAGCGCGAGGCGGTGGCGGAGGCGGCGGTGGAGCCCGTGCTGGCGGTGGAACTCGAGCTGGCGACGGCGGTGGACGCTATAGGTGAGTACCGTGGGCATTATGAAACATAATTGCATTCATATGTGCGGAAAAAAAAATACGTACATATATATATATATATATTTGATCTGTCGTGTGTGTATGCATGTGAAAAATCGATTCGCGTATACATACGAAAGCGGGGCCAGCAAAATTACAAACACACATATATAATATACATAAACATGCACACACATACCCACACCCACACATGCAGTAGTATGCGCGCGCGTCCAAGACTGTGGGCACACGGACAGTGGTGTCCGCACACAGTCGTGGGCAATTGCTAGGCTTGATACGAATAATTCGGTCAATTTTTTGTCAATTCAAACCATTTTCAATGCGCTTTCTCATCACTTTTCATTTCGCACCAAAAGTCAAATAGGAAAATCAATAAAAATGATAAACATAAATACAGAAACCGTAGAGCATACAAGATGATAATAGAGATGTAGAAAAAAACCTTTTGTTTGTTGTGTTTTTTAGCGAAAAATCTTTTCAAAAATATATAAAGTAAAAGGAACGCTTGGAGCCAATTTTAATGTGGTCTCACCAATCATTTTGCAGGATAAAGTCTTCTTCTTCTACTACAACAAGCACAACAACAATAAGAACAACAACAACAGCTACTACTACTACTACTAGAACTTCTACTACTCCTCTTCCTTCAACAACAACAACAACAGCTACTACAAGAACAACTTCACGTCTCACCACTACTACTACTATTACTACCACCACCAGTACAACTGCAGATCCTGCTCCTCCTATTACACACATTTCACCAACACCAAAACCACCAACGAAGCCATGTGTAGTCATATTTTCGACAATCAACAACAACTACACCTGCAGACGCAACTCGTTGTGTGGCTTTGGTCAGATATTCAACAAGTTCGATATATTCCGCTGACCACACAATACCAGAACCAATCACCAAACGACCGAAACCGCAACACTATGTTACAACAACAACACAACAAAATCCAACACCAATACCCCCACACCTTGAGCTCCGAATCAGCAATCAGCAAATCATCACAACCTCAGCTCGGCAACGTCTCCAGCTCTGCAGCTACTCGAACCAGAATAGTGCACCCACATCACAAACACATAACACAAACCAGCATCATTCATTAATTCCCTTGTTAAATTGGTGTGTCCAGAACCACTCCTCGTACCCGCGGAGGAATCTTCACTCTTAGGGATGCATAATAATCAAAGAAACAAAGCACAATGCAGCGCCAGATTTTGTATTCTATTTTTAGTAGATATTCAGAACTTTGTTTCATTTTACTTGGCCAACTGACAAATGTTTCATAAGCGCAATATTGTATGCAGGCTGTTTTTAATTATCTGTTGGTTGTATATCTTAAATGACAATATTTGGTAGTATTTTCGATTGTTATATTCTGCCTTCTGCAAATTTAAAATACATATATTTTTCAGAAAATATTTGCTAGTATTTTCGACTGTTATATTTTGCCTTCTGGAAGTTTAAAATGCATATATTTTTCAGAAAATTGAAAAGTTACTTTATAAAATGTCAGCGGTAATTGTAATTAAATATTTAAATAGCTAAATGATCATTGTGCATTTTAGGAGTTGAGAGAACTCTCATCCCTAACCATTCCTCATCTTCAAGTTCCCAGAAAACACATGCCTTCAAGTCACACAATTAACAATCTTACACTAATCACCAAAGAACAACTGCGTCCTCGACATCAGCGGCAACAGAGCAACTCCATAACCGTAATGGCCAAACTCCATCAACAATCTAACTCCAAATCTCTGCATACTCATATATGTATTATATATATAGAATAATATATATTTATACACTCACCACTTGGGCAACGCTTCAATAAGTCAACTTCCAACGCCTCCAAGATCTTCGGCTGTGTCTTCCGGCTGACTCGAACTCGAACTCGAAGCCAGCCAGCTTCTTCTTCGTCCACCGAATCTCTTCCGTCCCCAACAAACAACCAATCAGCCAAGCCACCAACCAAAACCACCAAACAACCAACCAACCAACCAACCACCTCATCACTCGTCATCTCTAGTGCAGCTACAGCATCAGCAACCAGCTTCAGCTACGGCTACAAAGAGCAACAGCAGCAACAGCTACTCCAGTGCAACAGCAGGCAGGCAGGCAGCCGACAGGCAGGAACCAGCAAACAGTGTTGGATGGGACTGAATCCCTAGGGCTTTGGCCCCATCCTTGATCTCTTGTTGGTTCCACCACACCCAGTAGTTGCACCTTTCCCTTGAAATCAATCAAGATTGAGGATGCTTTTACGCTAATATACCTTCAATCACAGCAAGTATGAAACCTTTCGCAGAGCCCGTTTGTTCCCTTAACAAATCAAAACTTTAAAAACTTGAAGAAAGCGGGGAAACGAAACGAAAACGTAACGTAATCGTAATCGTAAATGTCTCTAACCAAATCCGTTTCTTATTTTTTCTATTTATGGTTTCTGCTAATGTTTTTTTGTCTTTCGTTCTTGTATCCTAACACCTACTGAGATAATGTTGTTAAAGCTAACTGTCTGCTCTACATAATATATATATATGATATACACTATATATATGTATAATTTATGTACTACTTGTGTGTGCATTGACTTAAAGTCTGACTCTTCACCAACGAACCAATTAAGAAAAGAAACAACAGACCGACCAACCAAGCAAGCACCAGAATCAGCAGCAGGCAGGGTCCTCTTCGAGACTTCGTTTCCGTCTTCATCTCAGGCTCCACAAGTCGCGGATGGTAGGAGCACCACCGACCACCGACCACCAACCACAACCACAATTACCACCACCAACCTGCTCCCTTCTTGCTGCTAACTGATGCTTTACCCACAACTGCTTCTTCATCTCCGAACCTCGTTCTTCAGCTGCTGCAACTGCAATAATGCGGAACGAAACAGAGATCTAAAAGAGTCACCAAAGAATAAAAATAAAACTACACACACCAACCAAAACCACCAACAGCCACAACAAAACACCACCTTAGTCACAGTCAATCAGCTCAGTATCAGTATCGTATCAACTGTCCAAACTACAACTCAACAACAACAACAACCTACTATTACTACAACTCAACTACTACAACTCAACAACAAGAACAACAGTCTTCTCAGTCTGCTCTGCTCATCAACCAACTAAGCAACCAACCAACCAACCAACCAACCAATCAGCCAACCAATCAACCAACCAACCACCACCAACCAACCAACCACCACCAACTACTTTATGTAAATGTCACACCAACGCTTTCGTAAACGGGGCCAAAAAAAAGATCCGAAATAATAAGATCAGCTCAAAACTCCACCACCTTCAAGCACCTTCAGCCAGCCTTCACCAAAAAAAAAAGTATAAAATCAAACAAAAAAACAGCCAGCTCTCCGCTCTCAGCTCTCAGCTCCGCTCAGCTCAGCTCCAAAATCAGCTCCGATCCGTATCCGATCCGCCAGATCCGTCAGCCCAGCCCAGCTCAGTTCAAGTTGTGTGTTGTTTGATCGAGGCTCTATCAACTTTACGTATCTTAAGGAATTGTTAATTTACTACACTGCCTAATTAGGTTAATTGTCTGTGCAAAATCTATTTAATTTGTATTTCTCTCTCTCTCTCTCTCTCTCTCTCTCTTTCTCTTCTCTCTATCCCCTGTATCTTTCTCTCGCTCCTGCCTGTGTGCATTGCGAATTTGTTTCCCCCAACGCCACACCACCTCCCCGCCCCCGTCTCATTACAGATCCCGATCACCACGGCGCTCCAGGACACGCAGCCGTAGCTTCTCACGGGATCGTCGCAGTCGCTCCGATTCGAGGGATCGCCACTAGATAAGGGGCCCTGAAGGAAGACCGATCCGGACTACACACTCACATCTATATCTATATCTCTATATTGAGATATACACACAGACACACCCACTCCTTACTTGACCCACAGAGCTGCGGCCACAACTTGTACAGCCACAGAAGATTCCTTGGTTTAAGTAAGAAGCCTCAAGTTACAAATTTAAATATCGCCCCACGTCACAGAACCAGAACCAGCACACACAGACCAGCATCCAGAATCGAGCACCAAGAAAGCATAGTCCAGCCGTCTCCTGCGATGTGGATGTGGGTCGCAAGTATAGCCACAGTATCGTATGATACATATTGGTATTTAGCCTTTAAGACTTTTGGTAGACTTTAATTCAGCAACAAACAAAAAAAAGTAAGAGAAGAAAACAAAAAGGAGAAGGAGGAAGCAGTATACAACCAACCATCACAAGAACACACAAAGAGAGCGACAACAACAGGCGGGATGAGCAAGTGCATCGGGTGAAGGTAAATGCGATCAGCATCATTGGACACGAGACGCATTATTCTATACTCCCGTTTTGTTTTTCCCCCTAAATCTGTCGCAACACAAAATGTTTAAACAAAAAATGGATTGATAAAAGAGAAATGAATAAAGAGAAAACGTAAGAATTTTCTATATATATACGTATATATATGTATATATATTGATAGAAGTGAAAGTAAATAAGTGAAATGAGAATCAATAAATTGAACATAATTTAAAACCAAATCGACTAATCTTTTTCTTTTGTTTTAAAGGGATATAAAGGATACAGAACATATCTTTAAGATATATCTATATGGATATCTTTCCAGTGGAAGCTTTACTGTCAAAGCCTTGAACAAGGTTCAAGGAAATCCAAAAGCAAGGCTTATTTGAATATTGATAGTATTTCTGTAGATAATTTTTAAGATTTAAAGGATCATCTTCAGAAATAACTAATAGGAAAGCTATAGATAGCTCTCGGATAAAAACACACCCTATACTATTTAACAATATGTATTTATTTTGTATATTTTACTTCGTTTTTTTTTTCTTTTTTGTAACATTAGTAATGACTTGAAAGGACACAACACATTAAATGTTTTTTCGTGATCGTTTTGGGTTAAGCATGGCTAAATATGTGTGTATATACGTATACGTAAATCAAATATATTTATAACTTTCCGTCTAGAACAATATCAGAATTTTTGGCCTTTAGTAATCAAAAGCTCACTTGGCTCCAACAAAATTATTGTCACTTCTCCGTCAGAGGCTTTAACGCATCTGCCAGAGAATCATCAATCAATTCATTCAATCAAGATCAAGGACTACATATTATATAGATATATAGGTTTACGAAAATTCAACAATTGGATTATTTGCAACCTGGAGACAGGGGCTAGAGCCTGCTCAGGATTTTTGCAACTCAGAGGGGATTTCATAACAGTTTACATACATGCATATGTATATATTTGATAGATAAAGTAAAGCAGAGCTCACAGTATGGCAAAATATTTATCAGTTAAGAGACAATAACAGATTAAAAAAAAAAAAAACAACGAATAAAATATTGTTTTATTTTTAAAAGCTAAAACGGTAGGGCGGGGGCCGGAAGAGGGATGCGAGACAGGTTAGTGGATCGAGGAACCATCGTCTACTTGTACTTCTTCATGAACTCGGTGTGGAACACACGGAACTTCTCCATCATCAGCTTCAGCTTGTCCGTTTGCGGCAGGATTGTGCTGCGGAAATGATAGGTGCCGGGCTTCTGGCCAAATCCGCTGCCAGGAACAATGCAGATGCCTTTTTTGTTCAAGGGGAAATCAAATAGAGATTAAAGGATTAAGAGATTCTTAGGTAAACTCATTAGCAACCACTCACCGCTCGTTTCGAGCAACTCAAATGCGTAGAAAACATCGGGTGCCATGCCCTTGGCCTTGGCCGCCTCGATGGCCTTGGGCGGGATCTCAATCTGGGGAATACATACATAGCACCCTGCACCGGATTTACCCTGTATCCCTCGAAGCTGTTCAGTGCCTTGTGGACGAGCTCAGCTCGCTCCTTGAGTGCAGCCAGAATGCCATCACGCTCCTTCTTGTACAGATCGTAGGAGGGTTCACCGGGTGTCGGTGGGTTGACCAGCGCACTGACCGCCACCTGGCCAGCGGTGGTGCTGCACAGTGCCGCCGTAATCGACTTGGTTAGCATGGCCTTTACCTTGGGATCCAGATTGAGCACCTCCATATATCCGCCACGAATGCCGCACTCTCCTAGGTAGCCCTTTGAGGTGGACAGGAAGCTGACCAGCTCCTGGCTACGATACGGCTCACCCATTTCGTAGGCCACCTTCTTGAAGGACCAGAACTTGGAGTCCTTGTCGTACACATTGTCCTGGTACACCTCATCGGCGAGAATTAGCACTTGGTTCTCGTGAGCAAACTTAATGATCTCCTCGATGTTCTCGCGGGTGAGCACCTGACCAGTGGGATTGCCCGGATTGATAACGACCAGAGCTCGGGGATTACACGTCTTCTTAGCCTCGTCAAAGGAACGCTGCAGCTCAGCCTTGCTCAAACTCCAGCCGGTCTCCTCCTCCAGGTAGTAATCCACCTTGGTCATGCCGTATTCCGAAATGGTGGCCGAGTACAGTGGGTACTGGGGAATGGGCACCATCACGCCAGGTGGCTTGCCACATACCTCGGAGCTAAAAGAGAGTAAGTAGTTAATCTCTTGCATTTATTAAATTGGAGAAATCGATTATTTGTGGGAGAAACCAGACTAAGAGAAGGTAAGGACTTGAGAGAAAGTTCTCTTAAAATATATATTTTAAATGATTAGATCTTTAAAACAACAATCTCTTGGTTATTTTTACATTTGGAATACTCAATATTAACTAACTTTACTCACACCCCTAAATAAGTTTACCTATCAAAGCCACTTTTCGCTCAAAGGTTAAGAAGTTTTTAATTTAAGAGTAACTTTTCAAGAATAAAGAAACACATTTGAGTTACATTTAGGATGAGTAACTATAAACACTCAAAACTTGCCACTTTTGAAAATGCACACACACACTTATAGGAGTTGGCCGGCCGTTGGTAGTCGTCACTTCGTTCCGGGGATGTTAGAACTAGTTGGGAATTATAAATCCGCTTGTACGAGATTTTGTTAATACACATTTTAGGGCATATCTGCCGTAGTTTTAGGAATAACTAATCGGGAAAAAACTGCAATTCGCGCGTAAATTAACAAAGAATAGAGAAGAAGAAAATCAGATAAGAAGGCTTTAAATTTAAGGAAAATAAGAAATTTAAATTAAATCAAATTAAACCTAAAAATTGTATTTATGCTTTGATTTTTTAGTGCCTAGCCTTAAATTCATATCAGATGTTTATGATTGTGCAAATGTCTCTTAAATATAATTGCAAACTGTTGATTCTACAAATTTTTAGTAGATATTTTGGTGACATTCATCCTTATCTATGAAGAGGCTTTGTGGAACAGAACTTTCCTAAGATCTTCTATAATTTTATGAGGCTCCTAAATGTGTTTATTATCTTCGTGCTACTTTGCAAAACTTGGCATGGCTTATACACTCTACACACACATTCAGAAATGGTGCCATTATAAGATAGCTACCAAAATATTCCCCTTATCTTTTGTCTGGTTTCCGGCTTCGTCTTGGCTCCCCTTTGGGATACTCACTTGATCATGGCCAGAATGGTCTTGATGCCGGGAGAGGCGCCCGCAGTGAGGTAGATGTTCTGCCAATCGGAGGGAATACCGCCATCGCGCTTCTCAATATATTTGGTCACCTGGCGACGTACCACTTCGAGGCCAGCGGAATCGGTATAGGAACCCACCGATTGTCCCTGGCAGCCATCCAAGATGGCACAGGCACGCTGCTTCACATCATCGGGATACTCGGGTGAGTCCAGCAGACGCTTCTCAAAAGTTAGAGCCATCAGCTGCAAGGGAATAAGGATTTTAGATATCGAAACTAATCAAGAATTGAACTCTCACCTGTCGCAGGAACGTCACGGGCTCTTGGCCCATGGCATGGCAATCACCGATGTTGGCACGGATCACCTGGTCGAACGGCTTCTTCACGCCCTGCGAATCAAATTCAATTGAATTGGAAATGAAATTATATATTGTTTGCTTTGCTCCTCAAATTGAATTAGAATTCTAATTACATATAATTATAGTACGATGACGATGGCGTATCAAATGAGCTTTTAATGCGTAGGTGTATGGAGCATTCACTATGCAAATTACCATCAAGTGGCGGACGGGAATATTTGATTTGTAATCCAGGTAATTAGGCTAAGAGGGCTAAGCAATTGATGAAAGTGCATTTGCAATTAATTTTTCAGCTGGATAAGGTCAGAGTGGAAATTACTAAGAGAAAATGGTTTATTGAAGGATGAAAGTTAAGGAAGTGAGGGGTAAATATGATATTAATAAAGCTGTTGAAAGGTTCAAGAAATGCTTTCTAGAATCCTATAAAGACTTGTTTAGCTAGGAGAAGCTCAGTATCAGGCTTAAATAGGATCTATATCCTAAGGAATGAATCTATGAAACTTTTACCCCAAACATGATACATAATACCAAGCCACATAAAGAGAGAGATAATGAAATTATGACACTTACAAAGGGTCTGAACCTAACCCTATACTAAATAGGGCTCAAAGCACCCCATTCAGCACCCATACACACACACACCGTATAATTGACTGTGGAAAATGTCATCAAAGTGACACACACACATTTGCAAGTTGCATTCATTATAAAGCCCAGAGCTTCTCGGGTTCCAAACACATTTTCCACGCTCAAATGGGCAATTTACCACATAATATCACAGGGAACCTAGGGGAGAGGCAGGAGGAGGATTCTCATGTCTCTGGATTTTGCTTAATAAATGGAAATTGCAATGCCATGTAAGTGAGCTACATTGACGTCACGCCAGTGTAATGTTTGTATATTGAAAGAGTCAAGGAATTTGCACATATTGCTCCAGATTTGTTCAATCCAATAGTAAACGTGCCTCGGCCCACCTTATCGAACCTTGTTAATTGTTTTCATTTTTAATTTCAACAAATTTGCTGATAAAAGCGTTGCCAAGTCGGTACGAATGGATTGCACCTACATACCATATATATTATATATTTTTGTTGGGAAATATGGAAATATCTTTATAGAAATCTCACTCTTTTAGCAACTGAAACTGCACCTAATTAGTTGATCGCTATTGTAGAATCATTTTAGACACTCTCTGGCACATTTTCCACTCAGCTCTTCCAATCAATTCGCACTCGAGACGCTGTAAACAAACTGTTTTGTGGTGCTAAGTGGTAGTATAATTGATAAGTACCTAATATATACTACAAGGGGAAATAGTAACCGCAGGTAATCATATACTGGTATATAAAGGCGTTGCCAAGGCTAACAATATGGCATTATCAAGGCCAAGAGAAATAATAAGAGTAATAATAATACTAGTAATAAAATAATGAGTAAGTTTGCACCTTTACAAATTTCAAAAAGAAGTTAAAAGGTTCTTCTATTTACTGGTTTAAATAAGTATTTAAATATCAAAGAAGTTAATACGAATTAAAACTGAAATAGGTATAACTTGTATATTTAAATATCAGCAAGAAAGAAAGCTATACATTTGCTTTAATCAATTGAAATGGATCATAAATATAAACAAAAGAGTATTAATGTAAATTCTATAGATATTCAGATATTCAATGGAACTAAAGAACCCTGTTCATTTTCTTATATTTTAATCAATAAACTCAAAGCACAGGAATCTCTTTATTTGAGTTCAATAACAAAAAGGTGAAATATGTAAGTGCATTTGATAAGCAATGTCTGCTGCTGTCAGATGTGCTGATTTTTGGCCAAAAGCCAAGGCTTGCTTCCAAGTGGATGCCGCCGTGTGGAGGAATTTGATAAAAACGTAAAAAGGCAAGGCACACGCAGAGGAATCGAGAAGTCAGTGGGGCGGAAAAGGAAATCAAACGCAGCGGGGGGAAAATCGGCGGGAAACCAAGGAATTCTTTTTGAATTCTATATGCTTGTTTACAAATGTATGTACATCCAAGTGTATGTAACTTTGTATAAATACTGAGACTGACGACGGGTCAACAAAGTTCGAAGAGAATGTGGGAAAAATGTGGAAATATCCAGAGAAAAGCTGGCGTATGTACCACACATTTCCCTGGCTAGCTCATGCGCATATTGTTTTGTTCTCTTTGTTATTATGATTTTCCACGTTCGCACAGTGATAACAGGCAGCATCCCAGCCATCCCTTACGCCCACGCACACCCCACAATTTTCGCACTTATGTAAGCCAAGTTGAAGGTCGTTCAGTGAACTTGAAATTGGGCACAACTCGTTGATGGCTTCAATTGTTGGGCCATCGGCCAAGAAAGGCAATTTACACTAATTAGAAGTGGCTATGGTATATATACTTATATGTATTAGCAATTAAAACCATGACTCGCTGCGGAATAAAACACGATTTTCTCAGCTTATAATAGAGCTTGAGTCAATGCGGTTCTTGGGCCAACTCCCTGGGGACAAATCATTCACTTATTAATTAGTTTATTGCCTTGTTTGTTTCTTTTCCCGCTGCTATAATAATAAATATACATATATATTTTCTTTAGATAAGTCTTCGATAATGTTATGGGTGCCAAATAGATTACCTTTGTTATCTTAACTTTTGCCTTACTTTTCATAGCGTTGCCTTTTCATTTTCTATATTAGAAGTATAGGTTTTTGAACTATTTTTGAGGTAGCAAAGTAATTACTGTAGTATATAACGTATTTTATTGTCTTTTGTTTAGTATAGCGCTCATTTACATATATGTTTTTATTAAGTGAAGCTTGCGAATCCAGAAATAACAAGAATTACTTTAAAAACCTGTTTTAAATTTATCGACTTAAAATATTCGCTTTAGATATTTATTAATATTTTATATGACGAATTTTTCGACAATTCAAAGTTTAAAATGATCGGAACTCAGCCAAAAATGGATTAATTTCAATTCGGAAAACTGTTCTATGCTAGTTTTTATTAGTTTATTAAATCTGCATATTCAATTTGAAATTTAAAACTTTTACAAATTTTTCAACATTTTAACGATGCAACCCTTTCTTTTTTGAAAAAAAATTGAACATTTTTAAAAAATTTGTTTTTTTTTGCCGAAAATAGCTAAAAAGATTCGACTGATAATGCTGATCAAGAATATATATGATTTATAGGGTCGGAAATGACTCCTTTACAGCATTTCAAGCATCTGACTACAATTAAAATACGTTAGAAAGGGTATAAAAAGTTAGCATACAGCATATTCAAAATTCTACTTTCTAACTTTCACTCAACTTAAAAGCAACAGGTGTTCTTGAAGTAAGGTGAGAGTAAAGGTGAATGATTTCACGCAGCGTTCTTGCCTCGGCGAATTGGGGCGTAAAGAAAAGGGCGGCAAAGCGAGGCAGTAACTCACACACGCACACACACACACGAGACACATTCAAAACAAACACAGGCACAGCGGGAGTGACACAGACACGCCATGGGAATAATTTCAGCGTGCTTAGACATTAAATGCGGGCTTTTGCCATTAAATTTGACGAATCAAACAAACCAAAAAAAAAAGAAATAAATAAGGGGGAACTAAATGGCGTCGCATTTAGCGCCGCGCTTTTCCTTGTTTCACTCACTCACTTACTAACTCACCTTTTCCAGTTCCTTTTCGATTTCACCGGCACGAATCACCAGCGGACCACGCACCGCATACTCCATGGCAATGAAGTTGGGGTTGATGTTGTCCAAGGACAGCGACTTGTCGGACGACGGCATTCTGTTGCTGGTGGAGAATGAGCTGTGGCAAAGAAGTTGTTGCTTTCTTAGCTTATTGTTCTTTCGCTACTTAAATTCATTTACTCGCGGAGCTTACCGATGGACGTCTAACGGTTGAATGGTGGCGTTGCTGCTTTGACTGCCGCTGCTTCTGTTCGTCGCCGTCGTCGTCGTCGCTGCTGCCAGCGTTGTTTTCGCCGCGCGGCGATTTCCATTGTTGCTGTTGTTGCTGCTGAGGAACGATTTCCAGCGGCGAATGACGTGTTGTTGCTGCTGCCGCTGCTGCTGTTGCAAAGCCACAGACATTGTGGCAGCGGCGGGCTTAATTAGCATGCGACTCATTTTCTGCTGCAAGTTCCAAGTAATTAATTAGTTAGCACAAGCTCAAATGCACACGTCGCTTAAAGTTCCAGTGCGAAACTGGAAGAAGAAGAAGAGCAAAAGACTCTCGCAAACACACACACGCACACACACATACGAACACATGTGTGTATATACCCGCCCTCAAAAATCAGGGGTGTTTGCCGTATAAGAGTAGGGCTTAAACATATAAGAGCGGCGAATTGAGAGCGACGCTGTTATCAGTAAGGCTTTTCAGGGCTTATCAAAGAGGAAAGTCCGCTATCAGTAACATATTTAGGGCTTATCAATAGAAATTCGCGTGGTTCGATTATCAATTTATTAGCTTGCCGCCTTATATAAACACATAAAGTTGCTAGGAGCGTAAATATTTACGATAATGAGCAAGTTGTTTTGTAGATATCAATATCAGTTTCAATTTGCCGCGCCCGTAATGATGCTGCGGCGAATATGCATTTAGACGAGACGCAAACCCAGCTGCATTTGGGCGGGTAATTTAAAAATTCATTTTTCTTCTACTTTTTTTCGTTTTAAATATGAAAATTATTCCCTATTTTAAAGATGTAATATTCACAGTTTAAAAAATGTGCAAGAAATACCTTAAAGAGTAGGAAATAACAGTTTGGCTTGTTATCTTTCGCCGAATTTCAGCTTATCACCATGGAAGTTTTATTTTTCAGAGGCAATCTACGGTTTTTTGGGTATTTACTCTACGAATTATGTGTACATATGCGATTTAATAGCTCTATTTGTTTCCTGTGTATATAGGATTTAAAAGGTATATTTGCCAGACTCCGGCGGACTCATTAATATGAGCGGCTTTGAAAATGCTTGTACTTTTGACTTTGAGCCAGAGCTCTTATCAGTGACGTCCCCAGTCGGGGTTTATATTCCGCCGCATCTCTGAATCAAATAAAACTAAAGCCTCAGTTTCACGATCTTCACATTTTTGCACTTTGAATTGCGGCAATTGCGTAATGCAAAAAAAAAAAATATACAAATAAAAAACGGACAAAGAATCGTTTGGAAGAAATGACAATGACCAGAGAGAATATACCTGAAATATAGGTATATAGTACATTTGCCTGCGTTAGCACTCTAAACAAGCGTCAATCAACCGAGCATATTGTTTGCTTTCTTTTTAGCGACAACCGAATTTTTAGAAATTAAAAAAGATATACTAAAAAAAATCATGAAGCTCTTGTATACAAAATATATACACACAGCTTAAATATATTTAAATATATATATATATATACAAAGCAAAGTATTTATTTATTCCAAGCCAAGCCCAACACGTTTTGAAGAATATACATATACTATTTATATTCCTTTCAAAACCGGTTGCGGATTTCATAAATAGGCAAAAAAAAAATTAAGGGGAACCTAATGTGGGATAACAAACAATCTACAGTAATCACTCGCTAAAGGTATATCTATAGAAATATACTATCCCGAATATTTATTAGTATTTCCTTCTCTTTTAATTTTCATCGAAAAATTACAAGATATTTTTTTTTTTCTATATTAAACAGTAAAAATGAATATATTTTAATGCATTTTTTGTTAATTATGTAATCTTTCTATATAATTATATTTTTCTATTATTTGTTTAATAAATGCTTCGTTTGTTCACCTCTTGATTTAAGTAAAAATACTTTCAAAATTTTATAGAAAACCTTGATTTCTGGTTTACTTTCCCCTTGTTTATTATTTCCAATAAGAATTTCTAGGGTATACAGTTTTCTAGATAGACACTGTGCCCATCGCAGCTTTTGTGATTTGTTTTGACAACAAACATAATTATGCAACAAGCCCCCCAAAAAATATGAGTATTCTTTGTGCACTTTGCACCCTAACCCCTCCCCTCGCAGCTAATTAGACCACCACGGGACTCTAATCGGACGCTGCTGCTGCTGCTGCTGCATACACATCCCAACTGGATAAGATATAGCGAACAAAACTCTCTGATAAGCAACTGAAAGCTAATTAAAAGTACCGTTAGCCATGAGGAAATCACTGAATTATTAATATAGTATTAATATATATATTATAGGCTGAACGTCAGCAAATTATATTACAACTTAATTGACACGTTGAGGGTGCAAATAAACAAAAACAAATTAGAGGGGAGGACGCCCCGATTGGTGTGTTTTTTGTGCTAATTGGTTTGCTAAACAGCTGTTAACGCCACACGCACACAAACACAAAAAAAAAAGCTGCCGCAGAAGCAACAATTTAGCGGCTTTTGTTGAAGAAACACGCAATTCAATTAAAGAAACACGCAAAACTATAAACAAAATCTGAGGTACTACTACACACTGTTTTTTGTTGGGTTCCCTTGATTTTTTTTGGGCGCACAAATCACTTTCACTGTCACTTCCTTGGTGCTCTGTTCTGTTCTGCTCCCAATTAGAATTTCGCGGTCACAGATGTATTTACATGTGTGTATGTAGTTCAAGAGCAGAAAGCAAACGGTGTTTTAGCCTCAATCGATTTTTCGCTGCACTTTTTACCTTGATTTGAGAGGGAGGGAGGGGATTTTTTTCTTTTGGTTGCTAAGGGAGGGGGGATAATAGCGATTATCTAACGGCGTTTGTTGTGATCCCCTATCCACATGTGTGAGTATGTGTGTGCTAGCCATAAACTTATTAATAAACTTATCTACACCATATATGTATGTATATATGTACCTAATGAATGTGTGCGCTGGTGAATGTTATATCTGCTGTTTCGTTCCAATCAGAATCCGAATCCGAATTGGAATCACAAAATCAAAGCTCCTTGGCCGCTAGCCGCAATTAAACAACTGAAACTGAAACGCGGACCCGAAACAGAAGCAGATGAAGTGCTGGCAAATGTTTTTCTCAGCAGCAGCTCGCGACGCGCCACCTCTAGTTGTTGTCACAAAAAAATGTATATATATACTATATACGTATATGTACTAAATAGTACAGCTACAACTATATGGCGAGTATGTTTGCTTTTGTTGCAACGGCAAAGAAGAGGAAGAAGTCACGGCGAAAGAGCGGCAAGCGATAACGATTTGAAAAAAAAAATATCACGATTGCAGCCCTGGGCCATCAATGAGCAGCTTTTTCGATAGGCAGCGATAGATCGATAGATGCGGAAAGCTTACTATTTCACAGAATTTGAAATGTAACGGTTGAAGCGATTGTCAATATTCGAACTATAAAGAAGATGAGTTAATTTTGTGAAAGTCTACATAAATAATTGATTATTTGTATGATTGTTGAAGTTCATTGTCTTCTTAATATTATTAATTACTCACTTTTTTAATTGAAAGTCCTGGTTATGGCCAATAGTCCTTCCGGAAGGCAGCTCATTTAATCATCCTTTGACCCCCTAATGCACTTAATTTTTGTATCCAAAATATAAAAAAGTAATGCGTTAGTTCTAAATAAAATTTGGTTCCATTGGGGATAATCCAAAGGATCGTGTCCGATCCAGTAAAAATAATTTGTAACAATTTATGTTTACTTTTAAAGCAATGCCTGCTTTGATTTAAAAACTAAGTTACGAAAAAAGCTACTTAAGCCTTAAAATAACTTATCGTTTTGTTAAATTTGTAATTACACTCTAGTAGTTAAATCAAAATTTTGTCTTTTTTTTGCCTTTTTAAGGGTATTTTAATTTTAGTCAGAATCTTAAAACCCGGTGAAGGAATAATTTCCCACCCTATAAATCATATATATTCTTGATCAGTATCAACAGGCGAATCTTTCTAGCTATGTCAGAGAGAACAGAAAAAATTTTAATTTTTTTTTAATTTTATAAGGGGTTGCATCGTCAAAATTTTCAACAATAAAATTGACAAAAATTTGAATTTTCTAAAATTTTAAATTGAGTATGCAGTTTTGTTAACCTGATAAAAACTAACATAGAACCGTTTTCCGAATTGAAATTTATGTATTTTTGGCTGAGTTATGATATTTGAAAATTTTTGATTTACCCAAAAAATGAGCATATAAATTAGCAAAAAAAAACTAAAATAATTAGCATAAAAAATACCTAGAATTTAAATGTTTTAGGTTGTCTTAACAAAGATCGCTTACTTTCTATTTTAAGTCTTATTATAATTAGTTTTTTTATGAAATGAATAGGTCTTTGTATGTTATTTTACATATGGGAGGATTGGACAATATAAAAACATTCCAAAAAAGAATACTAAACTTTACGTGAATCAATATTTAAGTATCTAATTATCTAATAATTTTTTAAAAAAGTGATTTATACAGTTGCAAGATCTAAGATCTATTAAAAATATAAATTAATGACATTTGTTTAATTGAACCTGAAGATTTTTTCAGGATTAAGATAATGAAAAGTATTCCAAAGTGGAATCTTTTTTTAGTATTAATTTATACAGTGACAATTTATAAAAAAGACCCCAAGATATAGGTCCAAGATCTTAAAGAACTCCCCATAAAAACTAGATATACAAAACAATATTACAAAGACCTATCCTTTTTTTGTAGTTTTATTTCATTTGAAACCTAAGGATACGAAAAAAAAGGTCACCTTAACCTAGGACTATGTACAGAGAGAGATATAGAGTGTGTGGCTTCAGTGGCTACGTGCTGATGCCCATGATGGCCTCAATGGAGAAGCTGAGCTTGGGCTTCTTCACAGTGCTAGAGTGATGCTGCTGCTGCTGCTGCAGAGTGAAGCGTGTCCTGGGCGTATCCACCAGTGTGTTCACAGGCGGCGGCATTGATTGATGCAAGTTGTACTGATGCTGATGCTGCTGCTCCTGCTGCACTGCAGCGGCAACGGTGGCAAAGTACAAAGCGTTCCCGCCCAGCGTTGCCTCCATGACATGGTTCAGTTCCGGATCGGCGAATGCCCGTCGTTTGCGCATGCGCTCCATCAGTGGCGAGCTGAACGTGGGAAAGCGTTGCTTGTATTCTATAACAAAGAAAATTGGGGGAAGTACCGAAATTAGTATGGATTAAGGACGAAAGGATAACGAAGGGAGGAGGGAATACAAATTGCCATCGATTCGTTCGGCTTCTAGGGACACGATTGTGGACACAATTGGAGCTATCACATTGGGTAACCGGAGACGAGGCGACGGCATCGCACCAGACAGTCTGGCACCAGGATCGCCACTTATTTTCTTTTCGTTTTTGGAAAGCAGATGGAAGAACCCAACAGAGAAGAAGAAGTCAATTGCTGTTGCCACATTTTTCCCTCATGCCCCCCTCCCCCACCGTTCTCAAGAGGTTTTTCCGTTTTGGTGGCGTATCAGCTTACGCCTCAAGTGATTGGAAAATGTGCGTACGCACTTCGGGGCGTCCGATTTCCATTTTCCATTTCCATTGTTGTTTTTTTTTGTCTCGTCAGTTCAATAATTGCTACATATTGTTGGTGCTATTGTTGGTATTGTTATTGTTGTTGTTGCTGCAGGGAATCACTCATTTCCTGTCCTCTCCTCACCGATCGGTCAGGAGTCGGAGATGGAGACGATCTCCAATTACGGAGTCTGTCTGGACCAGACAGTCTGGCACCGCATGGTGGAGGAAGAGCCCAGGGATAGGGATAAGGAGAGGGACCAGGAGTCGTGGAGTAATATATATCATAGATATGTATCTTTTAAACCCATAAACTAATGGTCAGTATAACTGGAAAGTGATAGTGGAAATGTCATCAAGTCTTGGCCAAAGATAGCTTTTCTATTTATTACTATGACAAAAGGAAATTTTAAATTATGTATTTTCAACATTAATTAACAATACTTTGTTAATTGAAGTTTGAAGATTCGGCTGATTGACTTTAAAAATTTAACCTTAATTGTTAAAATTGTATATAAATTGTATAAAGTTAATATTTGATTTTAAATAATTTAAATAAAAATCTAATTAAAGCAAAAATTAGATGTTTAAAATATTAAAAATATATTTGAATATTCGTTAAAGGTTTTCCACAGAGTTAAATTAATTTAAATCATTTAATTTTCGGTATTTTCCCTCTTAATATTATTTTATAATTTGAAGTTCAAATATTTGAAATACAATTTAAAGACAGCTAAAACATCTCTTTCTTACAAAATCTTTGAATATATATTTATTTATCCCAATTTGTATATAACCATTTTTTGAGAAAATCAAATTTTAAAAAAGGTCATAACTAAGCCAAAAATTCATTAATTTTAATTCGGAAAGAAGTTCTATGTTAGTTTTTAGGAAAATAAAAAATCTGCATACTCAATTTAAAATTTTAGAAAATTCAATTTTTTGCCGATTTTTAACGATGTAACCCCTTTCCATTTTTTGGAAAAATTTGAAATTTTTGAAAAAAAAAATTTTTATCTGCCGGAACGAGCTAGAAAGATTCGCCTGTTGATGCTGATTAAGAATATATATGATTTATAGGGTCGGAAATGTCTCCTTCACTGAATAAAATTATATTTCCTCTGCAAGATTCTAGAAATCGAAATTTGTATTTGATAATTTTTGTAAATACTTTTTGGGACTGTCAAAGTTTAAAAATTGCATAACTTTGTCTAAAATGCATTAATTTCAATTCAGAAATCGTTCGTATGTTAGTTTTTATAAGGTTTATAAATCTACGTACTCAATTTAGTATTTAAAAAAATGAACATTTTTGTCAATTTTTGAAAATTTTAACGATAAAATATAAAATATTTAAAAAACTTTGAAAATTTTTTTATGATAAAGATAGCTATAAAGATTCGCCTGTTGATGCTGATCAAGAATTTATATGATTTATAGGGTCGGAAACGACTCTTTCCCTGTGTTTAAAGCTTCTGACTAAACTTGAAATACCCTCGGAAGGGTATACAAATACTGTTATCAAAGTCCAACTTTTTCCACCAAATTGGCTCTTAGTGGGAATTCAAGGTATTTACCTTCCATGGCGGCGGTGATATGTAGCGTGGATTGCTGGAGACTCCGCAATCGCTGCTTGTAGATCCTTTTCTGGGCCATCAAGGCTTGTCTGGTGGCGGATGACGATGACACTGAGGCAGATGGGGGCACGGAGGAGGAACCACTGGTGTTGCCGCATACCAAAGTAGGATGCATTGGCGGTGGCGATGTGGAGGTAAGCGAATCCTCGCCCTCGCTGCTGTGTGTGGTGGTGCTGCTGGTGTTGGTGGTGGCTTCCAGGGCCTCCATGGTTTGCTGGCGACGGAGAGCCACCTGGGCGGCCATTACCCGTTGACGATCCACCACCAGCTGGCAGTTGGGGCAACAGCATTCGCGCCATCGGCACAACCGCTTGTGCCCCTTCACGCAGGAGATGACACCATGGTTACGGCAACGGGCACACTTGGGCGTACGCAGCAGACGTCGCTCCCGGGGAGTGATGATTCTAGACTCCGTCTCCTGGCTCTGCTGCTGCTGCTGATCCTTGCTCATCCTGGCTGGTTGATGTTCGATCGACTGAAAGGATTCGAGTTGGGAAGCGCACATTTAAGCACCGCACCTACTTGTCGCCGACGGAACGACCAGACAGCCTGGCAGCGTCAAGTGGGTGAGACTCGAACGGAGACCGCAGACCGGAGGAGGCTGGACTGGATCCTCGTCTGCCATTGGCTGCTAATCGCTGGTTCTAAATATAGATGATCCAATGGCCGCACAGATGGCACGGATCAGCGGGCAAAAGATACAGTCAGCGACAGGAGAGACACGCTAAAGGGGATTTAAATCACTGTCTCTGTCTTTTGCATATTAATTTTTATTTATTTGTGTTTCATTTTATATTTTTATGTATTTATTTGTGCTATTTATTTAATTTTATGTTTTATTTGTATTAATATTTATCATTTATTTATATGATTTAACAGCTTGTCCGTTTGTCCGTCTAACAACTCTATAGAGTTAAGAGAGCTTCCACTTTCTCATGGATAACAATTACAGTCATAAAATAATAAGACAAGAAATAATTAAAATGAATATATAAATAAACAAATAAATAAATCAAAATAATTGTTATTTTCTTACCCAAATCTTTGGTTCTCTTTAGCAAGGTCTGACTGTAGTTATCCCATTTGTGGATCTCTATCTCACTCTCACTGTTTGGACTCTGTATTTCGTCAATGTGGATATTGATTTCTAGTTGTTTCCTTTAATATCTTATATCCGTTTATATATATTTATATTTTTTTGAGTCAATTTTGATTTATTTGTATAACAATTTGTAGCATTATCTCATATAGCACATACATTTCATATATATATAGATATATATATATATATTTGTTTGTATAAATACAAATTCAACACGAGTTCTTTTTTATTATTTTAGTTTAGCTAACAAACATTATGTTTATGTAAAAAAAAATAAATAACAGACGAAAAAAAAAGCAGCAGCTTTACATTTATCTATCTGGAAATTTACGGCTACAGTGCGTTTCACACGTATCAGGTCTGGAAGTTATGGGAATAGGATTAATTTTTTGGCCGAATCAAGGCCAATACTTTTATTGGCGATTGTCAAATGTTATCGAAATCAGGCCCATAATGCGATATGTTATCGAAAGGTAGTAAATTCTTGAAGAATTTCTAGAAAATATATATATATGTATATTATGTGCTTTTCTCCATACTATACAGCTGTGAAACGCACTGTCCATGTAAACAGTTGAATGATTGAGCGATTTTGACAAGATTGATTGAGTGATTGATTGATGTTACAGGATTAATGTGCAGTTTAAAGCTGTGTTGGTCAGAGTATACAAAGGTGCGGCTTGATAAAGACTCTTAGACAGGTGCAAAAGTGCGAGTGCAATCTACAATCTACAAGGACATCCAAGCGGACCCAGCGGACAATCTGGAGAATCTTGTTAATGGTTTCTGAACTAAGCCTTGATCACTATAATTATTCGATTCACTTGGAATTATATATAAATGCTTGCAAAGTTATTGTCCTTTACTGCTTACCCAAAAAACGCTCTCTAAATGGAAATCCATACATATATACTACATACTTGTGTGTGTAAGTTTGATCCAACTTGAACCAACTAAATCTAATTATAAAACTACAAAATCCGAACGAATGCAAAATCATCATCACAAAAAGTACAAAACAATCGCTGGTGTGTCCCATTATATAATAACTATATATATGTTTATATATATATATAATATAGATAATACAATTCGGCTATTGGATTGCAAACTGTCGTTAAATACTTTAATTTCTCCGATACGATACAGACTCGGGCACTCTGAATCATTCTAATATATCATATCACAATGCTCTCAAGGGGGCCAGCGCTTTTCGATTTCGATAAAGCCTCAACTTGGGGTCTTTAGATGGAAAAAGTATCGAATATAATCGATTTTAATCGATTTTGATCGACTTTTCTCCATCTGTACTCTCTAATTCAACAACGATTGATTGCCAAACGATAATCTATCTAGGGTTAGGAATTTTACTACAATAACAGGGCTCACTGATCCACACAGCTCGCGAAATAATTGTATAGTCTCTGGGTTTCCATTCCCTCCGTTTTAAAGTGGGAAATTGGAGATCTCAAGTGGCAGAAGTCGTCTGACTGTCCATACAAGATGATCTTCAAATTGGAATATTAGAATTTGAGTGTTGAAATGCTGTTTGGTTTCTGTTTTCACAGATTTTTGTTTACCCAGACCCAGACATGGCATTAAAATGCCACACTTTTCTAGGGAATAATATCAAAACTTAATATCAAATATACAAAATATAGGAAAAACGCCCTAAAAGAGATAAAATCAATAATTGGCATGCTAAAAAGTCAAAAACTTGTAGTAAAAACTAAGTTGTTTCTACTCTTACAACAATCCTTGGAATAAGGACTCCCTGGGAAGATATATTCCTGATCACAATTCATACAAATTAATAAAGAAACCCCCATAAAGCGAGAGGGAGAGTTTTACAATTACTTCGCTTGCCTTATGGCAACGACAAATCTCAACAACAAGTGCTCAACTTCAATCCATCAGATACAGATACGAGTCCATATGCTCGTTACAATAAAATCCATTACATAACAATTAGTGCGCGACAATATTAATAGATGTATATATAAGTATATATTATATATAACTAGTTAATAGGCTCATTTTGTCCTTTGGTGCGGGGTTTTGTTTTTTGTTTTTCTCTCTATATAATAATACTTCTGGTTCAGGGGAAGCAGTAGAAAAGTAAGAAATTCTCATGGCAAGAGTAAAACGGGCGTGGTAAATGCGATTTTCCACAAGGATCTGTCACTGTCTCCTGACTTCTCCTCGTCCTCCTTTACCGAAAGGGGTTTCTATCTGAGTTTTTTCTTTGGTTTTTTTTTTCGAACTAAAATGCATTAAATTGAGTGTCTGCGGTGAGGCGGAAAATTTTTGTCCCACGATCAGAGGAAGCCGCTGCATCCCTAAAGCCACTCCCCTTCTAGACAATGCTATTCCTCTTGGCACTGGACCGCTGCAGTGTGTTTTGCATGGCAGCCACCACCGCCTCGGCACCGCCCGTAAACACTGGTTGATTGACTGCCCGCCGCAGGACATGCCACATGGCCACCGGTTTCCTTAGAGAGGAGAGCATCTGATGCCAATGCCTTAAACCCTTGCCCACAGCACAACTACCAGCAACGACATGACCAAGGGGAACAGGGGCACCTCCACCTCCACCTCCACCACCACCATTGCTGGTCACCCCAAACACAGTGAGCCGCAGCTGAGTTGTAGTCAGACTTGGTGGCGGCACACTGAATATCATAGATTCATTGAAGATGGGACTCCGATCCTTGCGCTTCAACGAGGTGCGCTTCTTCAGGACTTTGCGATCATTATCCATCAGGTAGACCTAAGGGGAAGGAGAGAGATTAGAATGTGTTTAAAATGGAGGATCAATCTGGGAGTAACCTTCACAAAAACACTCTGCACCGTGTCTGGTGCCTGCTCCGCATCCAGCTTGAGATTCCTCGCCTTGACCACCACAATGGTGAGTCTTTCCGCTGTGGGCAGATAGCTCAGGGAGAACATTAGCTCACCCCAACGGGCATTGCATTTCCGGGAATCCGAAAGCGGTATCCAGGTGGTAATTGGTCGCGGCATTTCACCAATTTCCATTTCCGCCTCTCCAATCAAAGTGTGGGCGGGTCCATTGTGGTAAAGATGGAACCAAAGGGAGTGCCTTGCCTGACGCTTCTGTAGCCAAAAGTTGAAGCTCTCATTGTAGCAGGGCGTCAATGCAGCATTGACCACCTGGAACATAAGATATTTACTAAATATAAAGAACTTAAGAATGATCTTAGCTCCTACCTTGGTTTGCATGGCACCAGGATGATCGGGTACCAGGTAAATCCGCACAAAGGTGTCCAGTGATTCCACACTAAAGGGACATATGAGGCCCTTGGCCTCCAGGACACTCACTTGGAGTTCCATGCCCTCGTTGCTTATGCTGTTCCTAGAACATAATAAATCTCAATTAAAGATCAAGAAGAATAAGCACACATTATCTTACTTATCATAGTTGAGGCCAACGCATAGATATCCGGTTATCTGTGTATAGGGTTGATCCAATTGATCCAGGAAGAGCGTCGAATCCGAGGTCACCGAATCGCAGGAGATGGCCCTCTCCAGATTAATTCCCTCCAGGGAACCACTCACTGAACCCGAACCCGAATCCAATGATATCTGAGAGCTATTGCGTCTGCCCAGGCCCATGCCCAGGCTCAGCGTTGAATCCTGACGCAGCAGGGAGCGTCCAAAGGACCAGGTTCCATTGCCATTTCCGTTACCATTCCCATTGCCATTACCATTGACATGTCCATTGGCCATGGGATTGCTGACGCCCAGTTTGCGGAAGAGATAATCCTCGGAGATGGTCTTTTGCAGCAGATGAGGACCCTTGACCCGTTGCGAAAGTCCTGTGAAGGGATTTGTGGTATTGTGAAGCTTCATCAGGCGACTGGAGAGGCTTTGGGACTCCACAAAGGGATTGCCATTATGATGATGCGAGCTACTGTCCAAGGAAGGTGCCTGAACTTGGACAGGTTCCGTTTCCTGAGGAGCAACAGCAGCAGCAGTCGAAGCAGCAGAGATCGTTGCAGAGCAAGTGGATACAGGAGGATCCTCTGTGTGAGTATTTGGCATCTGTTCTGTGGATTCGCACAGGAAAGGATTGGTGCTGGAGTTTCTGCGCTTGAGAGCCGGAGTTTTCCTCTCCACTTCCTCGGCTAGTGCAGGAGCGGAAGCAGGAACAGGAACAGTGGCACCTGCCACCTGTTGACCTCCATTGATGCCCTGCTGCAGGGACACCTGTCGCTTGGCCGTTGGTCTTGGTATAGCCGTGGCCGATAGGTTCACCGACGCCGATGTGGTGAGTCGCGGTGGTGGAGGAGCCTCCAGTGGTTGGGGCAGGACACCAACTGCTCCACCATTTTGCCTTAGACAGGAGCGTCGTTCCTGCTCCCCGACGGAAGGCGTCGAAGCACTTCCCACCTCGTTCACCTGACTAAAGGAGAAGGACACCGTTTTGCTGGTGGGTCCAGCGCTATTGGGTGTGGAGATTGAAACTGGTGCCGGTGCTGGACGCAGGGGTTGTGGTGGTATGCCACCATCTGCCAGCGGTAGATTCCACATTGGTGTGGTGGCTTCCACCACAGTGGTGCTGGAGGAGGAGCCCGGTGCTATGGACATGGTGCCGCTGCCGTTAATCAGAAGCAATTGCGTTTGCTGGGAGCGATTATAGTCGTCCTTATCGATGGTATCAAAGCGCTTGAAGCTGCCGCTGGTGCTCAGCAGGAACTCGGAGCCGGATTGGATCTGGAGAGGAGAGGGATTTCCATGAGAATCAAGAGTCAAGCTTAGCTCTCAGTAATTAATACAATTAAATTGAACTTACACTTGCCATATAGCCATTGGCATGGAAGAGCTTGTGCTTGTGATTGGATAATCCGATCTTCTCCTCCTTGCTGGACCTCATCCGCATCCAGTTGGCTGCCCTTGGACCCAGGCAGTGGCAGGCGAAGAGCAGGCACATAACCACTACCGCCAGCAACAGCAGCGCCAGGCTAATGGTGAAGCTCATCATAGCCGGCGGAGGAGTCCCATTCAAATGGGTTTCTCACCAATTATGTAGCATTTCCGCTTGCCCTTCTGTCACCACAAAACAGATAAAGCTCTATATAAATGTACTCCAAAGTACAGATTGAAAATGTATGTCAATGGGTTGATGCAGTTCCTCAAGGAAAGCGGCGTCAATGAGTCATACATACAATGTCAGGGGGGAAATGAAAAACGAAAACGAAAATAAAACCCAAATGTTTTCATTGGAAAATGACGACAATGATTTCGATTTAGATTTAGAGGAGTGGAGGCGAGAAGCGAGGGGCAAACACTTTCATCTTGGATCGCTTTACACCCAAAGATTTGCCTCATCATTGCGGTGTGTGTGTGTGTGTGCGAGGGCGTGGACAGGTGCTCGTACTCGTTCTCAATCACAAAACTTTGACAGTTTTTCAATTGAATTTTGTAACCAAAGACGCAGCATTTCAACTTCAAAGCGGAGAAGCGATGCCCAAAATGATGGACAGGTTTTCGGCAGGGTAAAGGCGGTTCCTCAGCTGATGGATGACAATGGATCACTTTAACCTGACCCAACTGGAGGCATCGTCATCCATTGACTCCCTCATCCTCTCTAGGTAACTCGTTGAAACTCGGTAACTTTGCTAACTATTCCCACTCTTTTACATATAATATATATAACTAACCCAGAGTTTACCCCCTTGAAGCTCATTAAGCTCTGTTCTTTATATTCCCTCCTCTATTTACTGGCTCATTCGGTTCATTGAGCTCCCCATTAAATCGTTTTAATTATATTCCAACTGGGCATGGTTAAGTGCATTACATTAGTGTCGAGCCCAGTTCCTGGCCAGGTCCTGGTGCCCCCACTCAATGCAGCAAACGTTGACAGAATAACAGGTGTAATGAGCACTTAATGGGAGGCTCTAACTATATACACTTCAACTTTTACCCACACACACTGGTCATGTACACTTGAAGAAGAGCAATTGTAGTTGTATTTCTATTTAGTTTTTTACATATTTTTATTTAATTTGATTCAAATCTATCATTTATTATTAAAGAATTTCGTTTTTAATTTTATTAACTGCCAAAGTATCTTTCAAAACTAAGTATCTATGACCAGTAATTAACTATGATCAGTAAGTATCAATGAACATCAAGTAACTATAAGCAGTAAGTAACTCTGAACAGTAAGTACCTATGAACAGTAATTATCTATGACCACTAAGTATCTATGTATGATCTGTTCCTATCTTTAAACACTAGTAAACAATGACTTGCAACTTTTGTAACACAACACATTTCTGAGACGTGGCCGGCAGCAGTCACTTCGTTCCGGAGATGTTTGAACAAGTTGAGAATCATATGTTCAGATATGCGAGATTTGTTTTGAAACAAATTTAAGCTATTTCAATGAAACTTTGGAGTTATTCTTCTATGTAATTTTGCTAATATATAAGTCGAAGCATGGAAAATCGGTGGACTATATATATACATATATATAGCTGCCACAGGAACGATTGGGAAAATTTTACAAAAGATATAACTATGAGCACTAAGTAACTATAAGCTGTAGTTAACTCTGAACAGTAAGTATCTATGACAAGAAAGTAACTCTCAACACTAAGTATCTATGACCAGTAAGTAACTCTCAACAGTAAGTATCTATGACCAGTAAGTAACTATTACCATTAAGTATGTATAATCAGTAAGTATCTATCACCAGTATGAATGTATGTATGTATGTATGTATGATTAGTTACTAACTTTGAACACTAGTAAACAATGACTTGCAACTTTTGTAACACAACACATATCTGAGACCTGGCCGGCAGCAGTCACTTCGTTCCGGGGATGTTAGAACTAGTTGGGAATCATAAGTTCAGATATGCGAGATTAGTTTTGAAACAAATTTAAGCTATTTCAATGAAACTATGGAGTTATTCTTTTATGTAATTGTACTATTATATAAGTCGAAGCAAGGAAAATCGGTGGACTATATATATATATATATATACATATATATAGCTGCCGTAGGACCGATCGGAAAATGTTAAGAAAAAAGTATTATAACTCTTCCAGTTTTCAACAGATGATCAAATTTAATATATAGCCATTATATATTAATCTAGAGTTTTGGTTAAAATTTCATGAAAATCGGACTACTATATCATATAGCTGCCATAAAAATAGTGGAAAATGAAAACGAAACATATCACTGAAATTGTAACCTTTTTGATATATAATTAAAAATCTAACCCAATTGTTAAATATATACTTTCTGTACCTAATTAGCTAAGCTCTGGAAAAGCCACAAGTTTTCCTAGGCTTAGATATCACATGTCTTTGCATCAAAGCCAAAGATAATTCTATGATTTTTTCACTCGATTTTGTGCAAGTGCAGGACAAAGTTGGTCACACATTGTGGCTTAGAAGAGGAACTTTTGGTCCGGGGAGCCAGGAGCAGGGAGAAGAGCCAGTTGGCAAGAAGCCCAGCCAGCAGCCAGCAGCAGTTGTAGTGCCACTTTTCATTAACCTACTCCGAGGTCATTCCACTGGCTCTGGCTCTGTCTTTTGTTGCACACGCACACCCCGATATATCTGGCCACATATACATATATACACTATATAGGATATATACTGAGCCCCGATATAGTTATGTGTAGTGGAGTAAGGCTTTTTGGGCCTGAAAGTGTCGTCGCGGCTAGTGACCTCTTTTCTTTCCTTTCCGAGGGGAAAAATGGGGCAGGCGGCCAGCAGGCAACAAAAGGAATGAACTCCGGTCACGTCACACAGAGAGACAACTGTAATGAGGATGTGCCTCCTGGTCCCTCTAGGGGATCCACACGCATCCTTGAATCGCGCAACAAAAAAGAAAAAGAAGAACAAAAATATAAAAAAAGGGGGAAATCAAAAAAGTTTTCACTGCGAAATGGAGAGTGACGAGCGGGCGAAAGTCAAAGTAATCAAAAATGCGAGGCAAAGACTGAGGAAATTGGGGAAACCCGAAAATCTAGAGCAACTTGGCGGAAATACACACACACACACACAGAGAGACACACATTCGCTGACGCTTTTCCTAGGTTATCCCGTAACAACAACAACAACAACAGCTGAAACTAGCACAGAGGAAAGCAACACCTCACCTGGATTTCCCTCCTGGGTTTTTCCTCAATAAAAAAATGAAGCACCACAACAAAAACGGGAAAACACTCTCGATTTGTTTAATGGAAACTCCTGCGCTTTTCCTCAAGACTTGACACTTTAAACAGCGCACTTTATCTACACTTTTTTGTTTTGTTGTTGTTCCTTTTTAACAACAATAATAATAATCAAAACAAGCTGCTGGGCATGAGGAGAACGAGGAGGAGCTGGCGCAGGCGGAAACGGAACTGCGGCCGGAAAATTCGCTCATTTTCGTAGACCGTTCGGTGCCAAAACTCGCGGCCAACTGAGAGAAAGCTGTAGCTTAAGCGGGGGGAAAATCGCAATAATAAACAACAACAGCAACAAATAAAACACAACTTTGGTCCACTTTCGTGGCAGAAAACCTTCACTTTCTCCCGCTTTTAGCTTTTTATTTACGGTTTGCGAATCAAAAGCGAGCTTATTTTCGTCCTTTTTCCAGCTTTGGGACAGGGTTTGCTATAAAAATTGAGCCATAATAGGGATTCCTATAAATTTATGGCTTATAGCACACGACTATAATTGTAGAAAATTGCTATAAACTTATGGGAAAGGCCATAAATTAAGCTTAAATGGGAGATGGGTCACGTTTAAATGTTTGAAATATAAATAAGTGTGTTAAAAACAGTTTTTAGTTAATATTTCATTAAATAAGTTATAAATAAACTAAGCAATTTAACACATTTTCCCAAAAATGTATTTTTTTTTTCTTTAATTTATTGAAATTTGAATGTTTTCCGATAATGTTCCAACTAAAAACTGTAACTTAATACGATAAAATCTTTAAATCATTTTAAATATTTTTAAACTTTCTAAAAGCATCGTTTTTGCTCAGTTGTTTATTAGTTCCTCATGCTCCTTTCCCTTAAAAACTAATATCTTATATATTTAATTGTTTAGTTTTGTTTCCCATTGCGATAGTTTTCCCTCTCGTCGTGTCACGTGCCCTTCCAACCGGGCATCACTGTTCGATTACTGTGCTACGCAGGGGAAGTTGTCGTCGTGGAAGGCATATAACAGGACACACTTCCGCTGTTAAGCATCCCCCTAGTTCTGTTAATTAGCCTCTGGCATTTACAGCTGTTAACCTAGCCCAACAAGAGAGCCACTGTAGCAACATTGTTGCTAGCAAATGAGTTGAGTTTGGGATTCTGTAAACCCTTTAGGTATGGAGAAAAATACAAAAACAAGAAAGGAAGCTAACTTGGAGGAGCCAAAGTGTGCACACCCTTGCATATAGCCATAAGATCTTGGATTTGAATATTAAATGGATCATAACTAAGCCAACAAATACTTTAATCCCAATATGGAAAGAATTCGTGTTGACTTTTATTAGGATACTATCATATTCTAGGTATATTAAACTGATATTTTATATATGCTTAATTTTAGGGTAAATCAAAGTTTTTTCAAATATCATAACTAAGCCAAAAATGATTTAATTTCAATTCGGAAAACGGTTCTCTGTTAGTTTTTGTTTGGTTAACAAATCTGCATACTTAGTCTACAAATTTAAAAAAATCCAAATTTTGTCAAATTTTAATGACCCCTTTTAACCCCTTTTAAAATTTTTGAAAAAATTAAAAAAATATTTTTTTCCTATATGCCTAGAAAGATTCTCCTGTTCGTGCTGATTAAGAATATATATAAGTTATAGGGTCGGAAATGACTCCTTTAATGCTTTTCAGGCTTCTGACTGAAATTCTGATACCCTGCAGAGTATAATAATGTAGCAAAAGTTGTCTCCAAAGCCAGTTTTGCAACTTCCTAAGAAACCTCTATTCTGTAATAGTTTATAATGAGGTTTAGCTATGAGTATACGTTTTTAGATATCTTTAAAACAAATTATTGTATTACTTAATATTAAAATTAAGTAAATGGCAACAAGGGAATTAATTGGAAAACATATTCATAGGCAGCACGGCTAATTTTTCACCTATCGATCACTATCACCACAGATGTAAACAGGGTGGCGGCCGCGGACACAATGAGGCCAGTTCGATAGCTGTGCCTGTATTTATAGTCTCCGAGTAAAGAGAACAGAGAAAGTATGAGCGAGAGCGAGGGTGAGAGCGAGAGTGAAAGAGCTATCTCTAGAGAAAGGCAGAGAAAGTTAGAGAGAAAGCGGTAGCTCTAAAAATGCACAGCGAGAGTTAGACAGAGAAAGAGGGAAAGGGAGAGTGAGAGTGAGGGACAGAGTGAGAGTGAGAGAGAGAGGGAGGGACAGAGAAAGCTATTTCCTGCCTTTACAATATTATATTCTTAAAAGAACGGAAGTAAATAATAGCATACTAATGAAATTTTCATATAATACAACATTTTAAAGATATTTTGCATTGAAATTTCTGAAACCAAATTCAGTTTCCTGTTGTTTATTTTAATCACAGCAATGCTACTGCTTGCATACCACTGTGCAGCGTACAGAGACTTAACAGCGCTGTTGCGCCACTGTTATGCGAAGGGGCAAAGCTCAAATGGAACTCAAGCTGTTCGAACAGGTTTGACCTTAGCCAATGTTAGTGCAGGTCCCGCTAATCCTGGAATTTTAACAGTTTCGCCGAAGCGAGTTTAAGCGGATTAAGACGAGTAACAAAAAAGCGAAAAAGGAAAAAAAAAACCATAAAAGGGGGGACTTAAAACTTGAATAATAGATAGATACACACACACCAGGGGCTCGGCTGGACAGCGGCACCAGGACCAGCGTCAGCATCACAGCCCGAAAGGCCGATAATGGATTTAATTCGTGGTCAATCTAGCGTGGCTCCCCAAAGAGTAATGCGCTGAGCTGTGCTTGTGCCTCTGCCAGTGCCTGTGCCTGTGCTGCGATGGGCGAGAAATGTTTTTACATCTCGCGCGCGCTAATAAATTCCATTATTTTTGTTGGGAAAGTGGATAATGGAAGGGGAGATGGGAAATGGGAAATGGATGTGGAAATAGAAATGGAAATGGAGCTGCTGCTGCTACTGCTGCTACTGGCATTTTTGGCATTCCTAGCCATATTCTAGCATTTTGCTGTATTAGTAGACATTTTGTTGTTGCTGCTGCTTCTGCTGCTGCTTGGCCATTACGCAATTTTGGCAACGCAAATCCCACTGCGCCAAAATGCGCCAAGCCCCACGCCGAGCCACATCACATCACATCACATCACAGCACAGCACATCACACCACCGATTAAAAAGTACACGGCCATAGCACTCAAAATGTGCGATAATTTTCACAGCCTATCCGGCGGAATTCCTCAATCAGCCAGCAGATTGTTGGCCAAATCAAATTGCTTTCAATCGACACTCTGGGCCAGGGACTCTCACTCTCTCTCTCTCTATCAGTACAAGGACGATACAGGATGCGGCAGCGGCGGCAGCGGTCCGTTTGTCGGTCAAATCTTTGGGTGTGCGAAAAACCGCACTTTAGTCGTAATGAAAATGAAAATGAAAATGATGCCGAAACAGAAACAATAAAAATGGATATAGATGGGAATGTGTGTGTGTGTGGCAACTGGAATTGAAATGAATTGCAATGGAATGGAATCAAATGAAATAAAATAGGATGGAAAATGTGCACAATTGGGCAAAATGCTGCTGTGCCCAAGTTGAGGAGTCAAAGTCAAAGCAAATAAATTGTGCAAATTGTGGTAAATTGCAAACTAACACACACGCAGTACATACAATGCAAATACATATATATATTTAGTTATATATACAGAGCTACAATATGTATAATAATGCTAAATGCCGAAATGATTTCAAATGCAATTTCAATTGAATTTGCAAACAAGCTTTTGGCCCTTTCTCTCCTTTCTCTCCTTCCCCTCTCTCCCCCTCAGCAGTAGCAGGCTTTTGGTAAAAAGTTTTAGGCCATACAAATAACACTGCCGATCCCCGATCCCCGGCCCCCCGCTCCCCAGCTCCATAAACTATCCGGAATGCCTATCAACGAGCCCGTCAATTCATGGCAAAATATTGCACAAATGTTAAGAGACAGGAGAGGCACGAGTGGCTGCCGCCTGCATTGGGGGTTAAAGGGAAGCGAAGCTTGGAAACTCGCTGGGCGAACAAAGTTTCCAACATTGTTGGAAAGGGTGGGGGAGGGGGATGCATCTCCACCATTGCCATTCCACCATTCCAGCCAGTCACTTCCACACGGCCCGCATCAATTGACAGTCCAATTAACCGGGAATTACCCGAACTATGTGGGTCCGTTGGAAGTAATCCCCCATTCAGCGTCCCGAGTTTGCAACTCGGCTTGGGGGTCAGGCCCAGCCTCTCCTCTAGAGAAGTGTTGTAATTACATAAGCACCGCCATTTCGCCATTTGCCAGTTTTTCATCTCTACCCCTTACCACCCCCTCTCTACGGAATTGTTATAATTACAAATGAAAAGTAAAGTTTAAGGGAAACGCAGAGGCAGGGGAGCAGTGAGAGCCAGTGAGAGCGTGGGTGAGTGTATTATATACACTTCCTTTTTTTTCATCATCATCATCTCGCCGAAAGGATAATTAAAAAGGCACAACACTTAAAATATATACGTATTATGGTGAGGGGAGAGTGCAAAAGAATGCAGTATGCAAAAATAATAAAATAAAAAACAAACACCAAACAAAATAAATAAAGTTGAGTTCACTTTTGCACGGTTGAATGAACTCTTCACTTCCGAGATTCCCGTGGCTGGAAAACAAAATGAACAACAATATTTCCATTCGGACATTCCATGTCATGAATCATGATTATAAAAATAAAGTTCTCTTCACAGTTCTCGCTCTCCGTATGTGAGTTATTTTCGAGGGTTCAATGAACGCGCATGCTGCTGGCCGGTAACCTTTTCCTTAATGGCAAAGGTTCAAAAGGTACAAAAGGATATTTTCGTATCACCTTTTTTTTTCGGTCAACTTAATCAATATTAAGGAGCTGTCCCTCACCTCGCCTCCTGAAAAAGTTACTAATTTTATTACCCACTGCGGGCTTTTCTCCCCAAAAAAACAAAAAATACAACAATCATTTAAGTTTTCAGCCAACAAACTTTTTGGCCTGAGTGATAAACTGTCAAAGTAGCCGTTGTCGTTGTCGTCGTTGCCTCCAAAAAGTCGGTCTTGTTATTAAAAAATAGTTTAGAACAACAACAACAACAAACAACAGCAAGAGCAGGGGATTCTTATAAAGTTTTTAACAATTGTTCTTTATTAATTTAAAAGAAAACCTAAGGAAAGGTGTGATTTAGAGGGGAGTTTAAGTTTTGGCAATTATTTGTTGGTACAAAATAGATAGAGAGGTAGGTAGGTAGGAGATTTTGCCTTATAATATTTTAAATATTAATTTAAAACAGTGTGAGAAGTTCATTTTAAAATGAAAAACAAAGCAAAAGTGCACTTCTTGCCATATTTGTTAAGAAAACATTATTATACATAGGATAAACAACTTTTCTATTAAAGAAAAGTCACGAAAATTCAATAAAAATTTAAGATTTCCACTATTTTAAGCCAGAAAAAATTCCTCAGATTGTGTGTGTGTGTGTGTCCTTAATCCTTAATCCAATGAGCTGGCCATGCATTTCATTGCACCCATTGAGTGAAAAACTGTGAAAACGTTGCGATGCTCTCTCCCTCGCCCCTTTTTTAATTTCCCTCAAAAAAAAGAAGAAAAAACTACTAGAGTAATGTAAGTTTTCCTTTTACTCAGCAGGCGGCGGCTGGCATATTACAAAAATTTCTGTAAATTCAATGATGAAGCCGCAGAGCTCGCTATATGTACAGAAATACATAAAGTATATATATCTATATATATTATATATATTTTAAAGACCCACAGAAAGCCGGCTCTGTGATAAGCTTTCAGGGCATGGCCAGGATTAGTTTCCATTCATGATAATTCCTTATTTTTTTTTTATTTTTGCAGCAGCAGCAGCAAGCAAGCTGGTTGCTCGCTTTGGCGTTCTCCCAGTGGCACCCAAGCACCCGGGCACCCGGGCACCCGGGCACCGGGGCACCCTTTTTGCAACTGCCTGGGCCTCCTCGGCTTACCTTTTCGCCGCATGACAGACAGAGGGTTAAGGGTCTCACCCCTCCCCAACCCCAACCCTACTGTGTGCACCCCCCGAGGCCTTCATTATAAGCGTAATCTAGTCATCGTGCCTTCAAACTCGCCCATTGATGCAGTGACTCTTTGTGTCTTTCATTGCCAGGCGGCACGGCACACACATACATCGAGCGAAAAATAGTACAAAATGCGGGTTAATCTCGACTTATTTCATCTATATACAATATATATTTATTTCCCATTAAGCCTATATAATGCATATTAAATTGGAATTTTTGCCTCTTGGCAGAAAGGGAGAGAGAGTTCTGTTCTATATAATATACTTCCAGCACGATTTGGTATATCAGATATATAATATACATTATACATTTTATATATAATACTTTAAACCAGACTTGGACACAAGATTCAATAGGAAAAAGGAACATCTAAGAGCCAGGCCAAAAACATAGCAAATTTAAAGTATTTTCTATATTTCTAAAGTTTCAACTGAACCATAAACTATACAACAGAGAAATCCTAGTAGCCCGACATTTATAATTCCAAACAAAAAGCGTTACGAGCGCATTCATATAAATAACACTGATAAATATAGTCAGTAAAGTCGGTCATTTTAATTCCCAATTCGAACTTTTAATTCAAATTTAGCTCTGGTTCTAAACGTAAGAGATTTTCTCAGACATCCTCAATACCCATTAATCCCATTAATCCCATTCTATTGCTAATCCCTTTTAGACATTTTAAGTGAAATCCAAAATGGTGCAAAAGTCATGGCTAAATAGCTTCACCGACGACGAGAAGGATGATAATGAACTGCTGATGACTGTAGTGGAGCTAAGCATTTCATTGGGTGACTATACCCACGATGTGCTCAATTCCTTGGCAATCCTAAAGCAGCCACCGTCCCCTGACCTGGTCAATGGTCCTTCCGAATTTGATCTTATTGAACAGTTTCAGCAAAAATTTGTTGAGTTAAGCGAAGCACCCGATGCTAACAGCATTAATGTTCAAGGTGATTACTTTATGCAGGTGCATAAGCATCTGCAGACTCTTGAGCCGGACGAGCTCAAGCGGATCCAGCTTCTGGATCATTTGTATCAGCTCTTTGATGCTGCCCATCCAACGGTTGGGACTCCATATCAAGAAACTGTCGAAGAACTGCTGGGCTGGTAGCGCATGAGCCACTCTTTAAGCTTTATGTTGGCAACACAGAATCCGTTATGGGGAAATTTTAGCAAATAATTATGGGTCAGAACATAAAGTGTTAAATAAATTGTATTTCATGGAAGTTTTACAAGATGAAAGGTTATTTATTGGGAGAGAGAGAGAGAGCTATTTGGGGGGAACTACTCCCTGAACTCCCTTGGAAATGTTAGCAAAAGAAATGCATCACCCCTCGAAGAAGAAGAAAGTATGAGTGTATGCTCTCTTGATGCTCAACTCTCTAAATCTCTCCATTGCTATGTTTAAGAGAAGCATCAAGAATAAGCAGAGTAGCTAACGAAAGATACTCCTTTTAGCTTCACTCTTAACAACAAAGAAAGCTAACTTCGGCATGCCGAAATCTGCATACCCTTGCAGATTGAAATTCAATCACTAGGAATTAATAAAATATAAATTATATATATTTATGTTAAGAAACAAAGTAGTACCTGCTTTCATTTAGTTTACATTTTCCTCTATTTTAAACGATCGTTTGTACGGCAGCTATATGATATAGTAGTCCGATTTTCATAAAATTTTACCCAAAATTCTAGATAAATATATAATGGCTATATATTAAATTTGATCAAAATCTGTTGAAAACTGCAAAAGTTATAATACTTTTTTCTTACAATTTTCCGATCGGCCCTATGGTAGCTATATATATATATATATATATCTATATATATAGTCCACCGATCCGCCATGCTCCGACTTATATACTAGTAAAATTACATACAAGAATACTTCCATAGTTTCATTGAAATAGCTTATATTTGTTTCAAAACAAATCTCGCACATCTGAACTTATGATTCTCAACTTGTTCTAACATCCCCGGAACGAAGTGACTGCTGCCGGCCACGTCTCAGATATGTGTTGTGTTACAAAAAGTGCAAGTCATTGTTTACTAGTGTTCAAAGTTAGTCACTGATCATACATACATACATACATACTGGTCATAGATGCTTAATGATCATAGTTACTTACTTGTAATAGATACTATCTGTTAAAAGATACTCACTGGTCTTAGATACTTACTGTTTAGAGTTACTTAATGTTCATTGATACTTAGTGGTCATAGATACTTACTGATCATAGGTAATTACTGATTATAGTTTATTACTGACTATAGATACTTACTGGTCATAAATACTTACTGTTCAGAGTTACTTACTGATCATAGATAATTACTGAATCAAGTTAATAACTGATCATAGATACTTAATGCCCATAGTTAGTTACTGATCATAGTTAATTAATGATCATATTTACTTACTGCTCATATTTTTTATATTTTTTATTAATTACTCATATTTTATGCACAGTTGTTCTTTCATTTTCCATTTTCAAATCTAGCTTTGAAGTGATAAATAACCCTACATATTGCCTTGATCCCTGATCCTAACTATGTTTTTTTTTTTTGAGTGTGTATAAACACACATGTAACCAAAACTAGTTTGGGGAGCGAATCAAAAGGAGGAGGAGGAGGCAAGCCAACGGAAGAGGAGAACGAGGAGGAGGACAACCTAGCGGATCCAGAGGAGAAGGAACATAGCGGAGGCGGAGGCGGAGGCCAGGTGCATTGCCAAGTGCCAGATGACGTTGGCCCAACATCGGCGTATCCGTTGCCCGGCTGAATGAATGATATACCAGTTAGCCAGGACAATGGGCCACCTGACTGCTCCTTCATGCCACGCCCCCCGTTTCCAACCCACCCAACACACACACACACACGTACACGCACACGCACATAGAATGATTTGTCAACAAAGCCAAAAAAAAAGAAGGAAAAACCGACAACAGAAAACGAGAAATGAAAACGAGCAATGGGCAACGAGAAATGAGAAAGAGAAAAAGAAATGAGGCACCGGTGGACGCATAAGGTCCGCCGGAAAAGGTGGCAAGGAAGTGGCCATTGTAGAGTCCGTGCTTTTGTGGCCGGAATTCGCATTGCGACTCCGGTCCGGAGACCCATTTGTCGCAGCATCATAGCAGCATCGTAGCCCCCGAAAAAACCACGGACGGACACGTGTCCTCGATGGCCATCGATGTAGATGTAGATGTCCATGTCGATGGCCATGTCGCCCCATGATGATGGCCCACAGATTGTGGCCGCTGCTCTACACTCTCGCACTTTTCCGCCAAAAGCGAAACGTAACGAAACCGAAACCGAGACCGAGACCCAAACCCCAGGCCAACGCTTTTCCGGCTGCCATTTTCCACCCCATTCAAACTGATCACTGCTGACGTTGGCGTGACTTTTGTGACTTTGGGTGTGACCCCCAGCGGAGATGCGATGATTGTCCAAAAACCAAAAAAAAAAAAAAGAAAAGGGGTCTTAGCCATGGGTGACCGGGGTGGTGACCGGCGACCGGCGACCGGAGACCGGAGACCGGACAGAGACCTAGGGGACCAGGGAATCGGGGACAGAGATTTATTTTTGCCGGAACTGGGACTTTATATACGCTGAGGCTCGACGCCATTGCCACAGTTTGCAAAAATGCTGACTTCTTTTTTTCCAGTATTTTTATATGTTTTTTGTTTTTGGTTTTGTTTTTTGTTCTTTTAGCCTGCAACTGGGATTTCATATTCAACCAGATGGCATTTTACAGCGAACAAAGTTAATTGGTCTCACGGGTATCCCGTGGTCCTTATTTACTTTCAAATAAATCCGGATTTGGTTAAATGAAAACTTGATGGTCAGCCTCTCTCTCTCTTGAAAGGAAAACCAAGCAATAGGTCATGGTTTCAATTGATTTTGTTTCTTAAAGTAAATTAAAGTGTAATTACAAGAGAAATTAGAAAGAGAAAGAGAGAAAGATCATCCTTTGCATTGCAAAAACCCATATCAAGATCGTGCCATTAAAGGTTTTTTGACTCCTTTCAGTGGCACTTTCTCTGCAAACTATTGAACAAAATATAATTCTAAAGGCTTATAACCCTTTCCCCCACTTTAAACCCATTCAAACACATACATTTTTCATAGAATTCGAAACTGAAGTTCAAAACCTTAATTAGAGAAAATGGCATTTGGCAATATTTAGATTCCGATGCCGATTTAAGGCATCACGATCTCTGGCCCAAGTGGTTTTGGCATTTGTATGCATATGTAATTATTTGCCTTTTGTTGGCTTTTGGTCTAATAGCCTTGCTTGTTGCCACTAAAACATTTTCTGGCACATTCAGAAAGCTGAAAACTTGTGCTCTGCTCTTTTGGTTGCCATTTAATTTTTATTGGTCGAAAAACACTGGCCAAATATTGATTTTGTCAAGAGAGAGAGAGGAGAGATGAGAACTGAGAAAAGAGAAGCCAGAGACTGGTACTTACCCCCCCTAAAAAAAAAAAACTGTTTTTCCCCGTAGACGTTGACAAACAAGAGTAATTATATGTACTTAGGACCGTTTCCTTACACTCTGGTTAACTTGAAAGTGTCAGGTAAACTAAACAGCCCCTTAATATATATATATATATTTACTGGGTATATATATATATCTGAATATAGTATAATGCCGTAAAAGTGCCGAATATAAACAATCAGCGAGAACTCGATGCTGTAAGGGAGGAGACAACAACCCCTCCCATAACGTAGGTACACATTTCATCAAAATCGCCTTTTTCATATAAAATTGCTGTAAAAGCCACAACTGAAACTCATCGCCATCATCAACATCCCCCCATGCACCGCCCCTTTAGAGGCACCGACAACGACGAATCCTGGCCCAGTCCTGGAGAGTCTTCTAGCCGTGCCGTGGATGTGGATGTGTCAGCATAAATAACAAGTGCCATACACTTTTTGCTGAGTTTAACTGCAACATTAAGCTTAGCTGGAGTAGCGCAAAATGGGCCCTAAAATGTAAACAACAAGTTGACAGACAAATGACATAAACTACACTCAGAAGTCATCTTACTGCAAATGGAACTTTAATTTGGGGACCACTGGGAGTGCTCCTGATGCCCACGATGCTCATGATGGTTAAGGAAGGTGGTATAGTATACATATATAGTGGGTAAGTCGGTACTCGACATGGATTTTATTCCCATTGTGACTGCCATTAAGTGTCATCGGTATGATTCCATTGCAAAAAGCATGAAAGCCCGCCCCCGTGGCTAGCTTTATTTATGAAAGTCATTAAATCGTTACAGTGATTTATATTTTATATATGTACGGATATATACCGCACTCCCTGGGAAGCTGTAATTTGTAAAATCAAATATATGTATTATATACATACATACATATAGAGATAATTGTCAATATTGAACACTTTGGTGAGCAAATAATTTAATAGAGTAATTAACGTCACTGGGTCACTCATTTTAGATGGTTTAATCATTCGCAATTAAAGTAAATGAAATAAATTTATAAAGTGACTGTGTCTTTAGCTTTTGCTGTCTCTCTAACTCTTTATATATATTCAATCTGTCCTTGGTCTATATCCTATATCTATAATTATTAAATCCTATATATTGCAACAATCTTAAGAGAGAAAAATAATTAAAGACCTTCTTCTACAACAGTTCCCCTGGTAAGCTTTGTAATTAATTATAATTTTTTATTAAATATAATTTGATGGTTATTTTTATTTTAGAAATTGTGTTTCCTAATAACCACCGCAACGGCTGGAACCGCAGGGCACCGGAGTGATGACAGCTCCGCAGGAGAACACATAGTTTCGTGGACATGGTGGCGAAGAAATACCGCTGGATTTTCCATATGGCGCCGCTGGCTCTTCCTCCTGGTCATAGCTGCGGGCAAAACCGAATTTATCTCGCCGGAAACCACCAAAGCCAGGACCCCCGAAACCGGGACCTCCAAATCCAGGACGTCCGAAGCCAGGACCCCCGAAGCCGGGACCCCCGAAACCGGGACCCCCAAAGCCGGGACCTCCGAATCCAGGACCACCGAAATTATTCTCCACAATCACTTCCTGGACAATTTGCTGCTGCCGCCTTAAACGCTCCAGCTCCGAATCCAAGCTGTTATCCTCCAGCAGGGAATCCGAGGCGACGGCGCCCAGACAACTGGAAACGGCAGCGAATAGGGCGAGGAAACCGAGGAGATACTTCCACATGGCGAAGCGATGGGTGACAGTGCAGCTGGGGCGGTGGTCAGGTGGTTTTTATAACTTCGTCCAAAACTAAAAATGTGCTGTGCCAAGCGAAAAACAAAGTGAAGCCAAACCAGAGCAACCGACGATGGCCAAGGTAACCCCAATGCCCATGCCCATGCCCATCCCATTCCAGGTACACTGATACAGCCAGAATGTTAAGGTAAGAGAATAATAATATTCTTATCCCTAGCAAAGGAGAACATTTTGGAGAGGGAAAGCCCTTAAAAAAACCATTTCTATCATATTCAACATAAAAGTCATAAAAGAAATATAACATTCAATATAATGTTGTATATAAATATTTAAAAAAATATTATATACTTTATAATTCCTGCTAAAAAGCATTCAAAATATATCCCCAAAATAACAAAAATACAGTTTAGTCTCATTGCTAAACTAAACAATAATTCAAACAAAATTTTAAGTATTTTCTAGGTATTATTTCAATCCTTCCAACATCCAAAACATTACAAAATATAATATATTTCATATAAAAAACCAATGAAAAAATATTCAAAGAAATAAAATAATATCAAATAAGACCCTATAAAATACCTCGTAATATATGCATTAATATTCACTCCCAAGCATTTTCCCCAAACCGGAAACTTAAAGGTCAGCAAGTCTCAATCGGTTCCCTATAAGATAATATATTTTGCTGTGCTTGTAAATTTTCGATCGTTTTTATGCTATTCTTGTGCCACCCCAACTTAATAAATTGTAACCTCTAAGATCAGCAAGAAATCTAGGTAAATATAGACAATTAAATTTATATATGTAAATATAGGTCGCAGCTTATGATATTTATATTTCAATATATTTCCTCTTGGCTACGCCTAGCTAGTGAGTTAGGTCAGTTAGTAGAGCAATTAAACAAAATCATTTGTTTAAATAAAAATAATTTTAAAAAAGAAAGGTATATATATATAATTATACAAGAAACAGGATTCGGCATATAGTTTCAAATAATAAACATATAAATTGCAGTTTGCAATTTCATCAATAATAATCAATCCATTTTGATAAAAAAATAAAATAATAAATAATGTAAAATATATATATGTATGTATAATAAAATATATAAATTAAATAATAAAAATGGTAACAGTATGAGTAATATATAAGGTTTGGAGTTCATAATTACAAAAGTATAATTTCTCTAAGATTCGCTTGCATTCAGGTCTTCTTTTTCACAAATAGCTCAAAAGGAAAAGGTAAACAAAGGGAGCAGCTTTCCAAATGTCAAAATGGAGAACCACAAGAGTAGATCGTATTCTAAGAGTAAATGGCTTTCCCGCTCTTAGGTTCCACTCTTAAGAGCGCGCGAGAGCAAAGCCAGTAAATATTCAAGGACAAGGGAGACGGAAAAATGGCGCGCAAAGGTAGAGAAAATCGAGGATAGCAGAAAAAAGAAAATCGTGTTGTTTCACTCACCCCATAACATAGCTTGTTGCTGCAGATCTTAACGGCGAATTAGTAGATGGAGCACACATACACACAAAAAAAAGAAAAGAAAAACACACTCAAGCATTTCATCCGCTTCGGCCATATCTCCTCCTTTTATTTCATAATTTCCACAACAACAAAATTAAATAGAGAGAAGCCAAATTTGCGGTGCTTAACACACTTGCTTGATTTTATTTACTTTCACTTTCACATTTAAAAAAATATATAAAAAAAAAAAATAATAAAATAAATAACACTGATCTTGCCATTTCACCCGCTTTTCCATATTTCTCCCTTTTTTATTTATTTTTTATTTTATTATTTTCATAGCGACACATTTTTTTCCGAGTGTAGCGAAACGATTTGCGTGGAGAGAAGAGACACTAGAAATTTGCGGGACCTTCTACACTTGAATGGATATTCTTTCTCCTTTTGCACTTGCACATATTAAAAAAAAAAAAAAACACACAAAACAAAATTCACAAGAAAAAAAAACACTGATCTTGGCATTTCACCCTCTTCTTCCACATCTCTCACTTTTATTTTACTTTTTTATAATTATCGAAGCGACACAATTTTTTCCGAGTGTAGCGAAACCGATGCGCGGCGAGAATGGACACTTGCGGTACTTTGAATAACGGACAGATCTTCGGCACAGTAAAAAAAAGTGAAAAAAATCCACGGCAGCAGCCCGGCATCGGTGTTGGGGCTGTTCCAGTCCTTGCCCCCACTTCACTAACACTTATTAAGGCACCCGCCACTGTTTTTCCGCCGTAAATTTTCCGCTTTTCACCGATCTTTTTGCGCGGGAGCCATGTTGGTTTTTTAGCGTCGGTTTTTTCGTCCGTTACGTCCAGCGGAGTTTGAGTAAATGATGCCGTGGCCACCGGGAGAGCTGGTGGAAGGCGATGAGAGGCTCATGATGAGCGAGAGAGTGGAGGCGCCAATGTTGCCAATATCAAATGGCCATTTCGTCAAAAACTTATATATTAAAATAGGACTGGAAACATGATTGTTAATTATTTATTTATTAGCTATTAATTTATTTGACCCAATTAGAAAAGAATTAGCAATCTAGCGACTTCGTATCAGGTACAAAGTGGTAAAAACTATAATATTTTTCAAAGTGGCAAATTTGATATTGGCAACATCGTTGCCTCCACGCTCTCGCTCATCATGAGCTCTCCCGGTGGCCACGGCATCATTTACTCAAACTCCGCTGGATAAAACGGACGAAAAAACCGACGCTAAAAAACCAATATGGCTCCCGCTCAAGAAGATCGGTGAAAAGCGGAAAATTTACAACGGGAAACCCATGGCAAGTGAGAAAAACATCCAGTTCCAGCCTTAAAAAGTGTTAGTGAAGTGGGGGCAAAGACTGCAACAACCCCAAAACCAAAGTCGAGCCGCTGCAGTGAATTTCTTTTCATTTTTTTTACTGTGCACAAGATCTGTCCGTTATTCAAAGTACCGCAAGTGTCCATTCTCGCCGCGCATCGGTTTCGCTACACTCGGAAAAAATTGTGTCGCTTCGATAATTATAAAAAAGTAAAATAAAAGTGATAGATGTGGAAGAAGAGGGTGAAATGCCAAGATCAGTGTTTTTTTTTCTTGTGAATTTTGGTTTTTTTTAATATGTGCAAGTGCAAAAGGAGAAAGAATATCAATTCAAGTGTAGAAGGTCCCGCAAATTTCTAGTGTCTCTTCTCTCCACGCAAATCGTTTCGCTACACTCGGAAAAAATGTGTCGCTATGAAAATAATAAAATAAAAAATAAATAAAAAAGGGAGAAATATGGAAAAGCGGGTAAAATGGCAAGATCAGTGTTATTTATTTTATTTTTTTATATTTTTTTAAATGTGAAAGTGAAAATAAATAAAATCAAGCAAGTGTGTTAAGTACCGCAAATTTGGCTTCTCTCTATTTAATCTTGTTGTTGTGGAAATTATGAAATAAAAGGAGGAGATATGGCCGAAGCGGATGAAATGCTTGAGAGTGTTTTTCTTTTCTTTTTTTTGTGTGTATGTGTGCTTCATCTACTAATTCGCCGTTAAGATCTGCAGCAACAAGCTATGTTATGGGGTGAGTGAAACAACACGATTTTCTTTTTTCTGTTATCCTCGATTTTCTCTACCTTTGCGCGCCATTTTTCCGTCTCCCTTGTCCTTGAATATTTACTGGCTTTGCTCTCGCGCGCTCTTAAGAGTGGAACCTAAGAGCGGGAAAGCCATTTACTCTTAGAATACGATCTACTCTTGTGGTTCTCCATTTTGACATTTGGAAAGCTGCTCCCTTTGTTTACCTTTTCTTTTTGAGCGATTTGTGAAAAAGAAAACCTGAAATCAAACTAATCTTAGAGAAATTATACTTTTTTAATTATGAACTCCAAACCTTATATATTACTCATACTTTTACCATTTTATTATTACCTATTATTACATTATAACTATATATTACTATTACTTGTATTTATTTATATATATTTTATTATTTATACATATATATTATATATATATATATATATTTCGTATTATTTATTATTTTCTTCTTGCACTTGCAAACTGCAAGTTTATACAAACTTCGGTGTGGCGAAGTTTCTTTCTTTTCCTGGAATTTTGACCATCATTTGTTTTTTTAATCGAATATCCCATTATATATGTAAGCATGCACTTGTTTCTCAGGGTCCTCATTAGTACCACGTTTTATTTTCACCCTGTTATTGGTTCACTCATTAAATGTCATCAATCAAAAACAAGAAATTACATAAAACTTAACGGAACTCGATCAAAAGTTGGCCAGAACTTGTCCTGAACTTAGCCGGAACTTGATACAAAACAAGCGTCACTTGTTTGTAACAGAAATTAACTTGAAATTGATATTTTATTGAATTACTTGTACTTGTTTTTTATTGGCCATCCATCAGGGTTTTGAAATGGCAAACAAGCTGACTCAAAGCTTATTAAATTTATGAGCTGCCCTAGTAAACAACAAAATATGATATTTTGTTTATATTTTCCTACATATGTATTTTGTTCGCAATTAAGTACGCTAATCAGCCTGTATTTGTCCCTACTTGGTTGTTTACTAATAAAGAATAAAGAAAAGGGGGGAAATAAGAGACGAGGGCCAACAACGATGACTGTCATTTGCCGGCACTTTTATTTATATATTTTTATTTGCAGAACGGGCGGGCATATATGTATGTATATATGTATATGTATATATTTGTTGACTGTCACGAGGACATGTAAGGCGCTTCATTAGTTAAGCAACTTTTCTAGTCATAGTCAAGAGAGCCAAGCCTGTGCTATTTATTTTTGTTATTTTTTTTCTGTTCATGTTAGCCAATATATATATATATATATATATAAAGCTATGGCTATGGCCAAAAACTTTTGCTGGCATGTATAATAAACGAGGGAAAAAAGTAAATACGACATATGTATGCAGTACTTGGGGCTGTAATAAAACGTACTGCTGCATCTTTAATGTGCCTAAGGAAAAATGAAATGGACTGACAGTA